AGAAGAGCAAACAGACCCAGAGAGGTTAGGTAACTTGCCCAAGGTCACACAGCTATTAACAGGCTGGCCGGCTAGTCTTGGCAGTTCTTGTTCTTAATGACACTATGGGGTCTCTCCTCGAGTAGAAAATGTCTATCAAAAAACTTACAACCACATGTAGAGGACACATAATGGACACAATTCTGTTCTCTCTTCCTGTGCTTCCCAAATACTGAATAAAAACACTCCCTGCAAGTGAGGAATAAGAGTATCTTTGGGTGTGCACATGGAACTGAAATAGCAAGAAATTGATTTGCCTTCACAGAACTCAGAACTCAGTCTGTACATGCACACACACACACACACACAGTGGGACTGAAAACCCCAGTTTATAGTTATATCACTATATATATAACTAGTTATATATTACACATGTACAATATAAATATAAGCAAGTACAGGACTTACTGCTGCTGTCACCTGTCAGATGGAGAAGAGGACCAAACAAGTGGTTGTGAGTCAAAGCCAGACCTCCTTGGCCCTTCCCCACTCCAGCTGCAGGGGCTAGGGCTGCACCATCAGATAGAGGGGTGCCCTGAACAGGCAGGAACAGCCTTCCTCCCACAGCTGCTCCTCACAAGTATGTAAATTGTGGCAGAATCCGTTGAGAGGGGGTTGCAGAAACAATCCCCAGCTGAAGGTTCTGCATATAGTGAGCATTTGGTACATTGGAGTTTCCCCCCTTTTTACATTTTAGTTTGCAACCTTTGGGAAAACATTCACAATTTGCATTGGATTCCAATTTATCTTTCCCGTGCTTATTTTGCACAAAATAAGCATGTATGAATATGTGTATTTTTGTTTGCCTTTCTTCCATACCAAAATGAACCATGCAAATTTCTCTCCCCACGTGTTGCCTCTCTGTGCCTATTTTCCCACAATCTCACCACATAGGCCATTGTCAAGCTTCTGACTTTATGCTCGTCTGATAGATGAGAAATGGTATTTAGTGCAACTTTCACATGTCCGTCTGTCATTAAGAATTAGGTACATTTTTAAGGACATCTGAGTATCTTTCTGAGAATTATGTGCCTTGCCTTTTCTCCTTTTTTTTTTCTATCAGGTTATTGTTTCTCCCAAGTCAATTTTAAAAATCCATTTATGAAGTGATTGTATTTAATTTGAATTTTGACTTGGGGGAAATTTAACATCTTTTTTTTTTCATCTTTTTTATTGTTGTTCAGGTACAGTTGTCTCCATTTTCACCCCACCACGGCCCCCTGCCCCACCCACCCCCACCTCCCACCCTCAAAACTACCCCCTTTGGCTTTGTCCATGCGTCCTTCATGCATGTTCCTTGATGGCCCTTCCCCTATTATTCCCCCCTCCACCTCCCCTCTGGTTACTGTCAGTTTGTTTTTTAATCCAGTATTTTTTATTACATTATTGATCTGTCCTATTCAAGAACATGCAATGTTTTTCTATGTGTTCAAGTCTAAGCTTGTATTTTTCAGCAGTATTTAAATTTTTTCCTTATTTGGGGGTTACATTTTTGTTAGTTGTTGCTGCTACTATAAATGGGGGTTTCTCTTTCATTATATCTTCTCACTGGTTATTGTACATATATATGATTGCACATATATACTACATATATATTGATTTTGTATGTTAATTTTATATACCACTGTCCTGGTGAATTCCTTTATTATTTTGGTTAGTTGTGTCATTGATTCTCTTGGTTTTTCCAGGTATACAATCATATCTTATGCAAACAAAGATTACTTTTTCCTTTCAATTCTTAGGGCTGTAATTGTGTTTTCTTTAGTAAAAATGTCTGCAGTGTTTCCACATTTTACAAGTTGGTAGCTTTAGGACTCAGGCATAAATATTTATATATTTTATTTTCTTAAATATTTTATTTATTCATTTATTTTTAGAGAGAGGGGAAGGGAAGGAGAAAGAGTGGGAGAGAAACATCAAGTGTGTGGTTGCCTCTCATGTGTCCCCTACTGGGGACCTGGCCTGCAACCCAGGCATGTGCCCTGGCTGGGAATGGAACTGGCGACCCTTTGCTTCACAGGCCCTCACTCAATCCACTGAGCTACACCAGCCAGGGCTATATATTTTATTTTTAATCACAACTTTCATAAACTAAACCAATGGATTTTTTTTCTTTTATTTAGCTTCCTGAAAAGCGTCCCACATTTCAGCAACTCCTGTCTTCCATTGAACCACTTCGGGAAAAAGACAAGCCTTGAAGAAGAAACTAGATAGATCTCATGGGAAGGAATATAAATACTAGCCAACATCTTCATTCTTTTTAAGAAAAGTAGCAAGGCACACACCACATAATTTAGCTACTTCTTCTTAATGGTATTCTGTATGCTGATTGTTTTATTATCTAGAAATGAAGAAGGTAGAAAAACAAAAGATATCCTTCAAATGTAGGTCAAATTAGTAATTTTGTTTATGCTGCTCCTAATATTATACTTCCAAGCCTACAGCAGAAGCACATTTTCTGATTCCAGTGGAGAGGAGGCATGTACCATGTGTAAAGTTTGAGCAGAACTGAAAAATTATTTGTTGGGTATGTGTTCTTTTCTTTATATTGTCACTTTCATGATACGAATTAAATATGCTATTACTAAGTACAGAAATGTGGCCATTTGCCTTCATGTTTCAATGTTGTCAATCTTTAGCATACATGAGGATCCATGGAGAGTTTATTAAAACACAGATTCTTGGAACTACCCCAGAGATTCTGGTAGAGCAGGTCCAAAAAAAGCCTTTAACAAGCACCCGGATGTTACTGTGCCGTCAGTCAGAACTGCCCTGGGAGACCTCACTGTGCAGTGGGCATTGTCAGGTGTTCCATAACTGGATCCAACTAACACAATTCTTATCTGCTCTCCAGAGTAGAACAACTCTTTATGTCACCATGTACATGAATAGAAAATTAAAGGTGAATAATATTGGTTCATGATATATTAACTATGTTTCACATAGAGCAAGTTTTAAAAGATGCTAAGGTATAACTTGGTGCCTTTCTCCTTACCATTAACCATTATCGACCTCGACTCAATTATAACCCTGATCTTATATCTAGCATTGATTAGGTTGTTACTTTCTATTCCTTTGAAATCCTGGAATTTGGGTCTCTGAGGCTTCTGGCCAATTGGATAACCGAAGTTTCTATTTCAGTCTCCTATCTTGACAGAAAGGTGCAGAAATATGCATTTAGCTTCTAATGGCCATTACTAAAACATACTTTCACTTTAAAACTCTTGCTGGGAATGCCCTTCTTCACAGCTTACTACTGAACCCATAGTTTTCATCTCATCTGGAATCTTTTTTAAAAATTTTATTGTAAAAAATGTTTATTGTTTAAAAAATTTTTATTGTTGTTCTATTTCTCTTGTCCCAATTTTCTCCCTTTGCCCTCCTCCACCCATCTGCCCCCCCCACCTTGCTCCCACAGGCAGCCCCCACCCTGTTGTCCATGTCCGTGGGTCATTCCTACATGTTCTCTGTCTAATCCCTCCCCTTCTCTCCACCATTATCCCCACCCCACCCCTCTGGTTGCTGTGAGTCATTTCCACAGTCGTTTCCTTGCCTCTGGTTCTATTTTGCTTGCTAGTTTATTTCTGGAGTCTTTCATTGCCATTTCTATAAGGTCAAGAAGGGAAGAGAGAGGTTATGTGGAGGACACTATTACAATGAAAAGACACCCCAATTAAGCCCTGCTACTATGTTCCAGCTTTAAGTTAACAATCTCCCTTAAGAGACATTCGTACCCTTTCTCATCGCGCTCACCCCCTCAGTCTCCCCAGCTGTTTTCAATGATCCCTCTTAGTTATTTGTTTCTTGACATTTAAATAATGACTTATTTCAACACAATTGACTTATGATAATAGTCTTCTTTTTTTACAGAGGTACACAAATCTCAATTTATATTGAAATGAAATTTTAAAAAGAACCACTAGGGTATTTATACATTCAGCCAGCATTTATTTAGCATGTACCGTGTGCCAGGTGCTTTCCTACTTGAGCGGAAAGGAGGAAGAAGAACACAGCTCTTCCTTCTCAGTGGGTCACAGTCAGCTCTCTGATCCTGTCTACCAGGAACTGCAGCACCGACTGTGACCCCCCAAAAAAATATTTCCCACACCCAAGCTGTCTTTCTGCTTCCCCCCCCCCCAGTGAAGGTTGCTTTCCTTTCTTCATATTCTTTTCATGGATTTTTCTAAAAATAATCATCCTTATAATTAAAGTAGTACATGCTTGTTGCAAAAATTCAAACAATACTGAGTTGTCTACTATGAAAAGAAGGCAAAACCTGGCTCAGATGCCTGGCTCCAAAAATCCAGTCAAGCAAGATTTTAATGTACTAGCAGAGATTCATCAGAAAATAAATCCAGTGATGCTAGGGGTAGCCCGATAAAGGAACAATATGCATACTATTTAAAACATGCATAATATTTTTAATGTTGCTCAACTGTGTTTAGCGGTGACACCTGGCATTTATTGTTGTTTTGAACCAGGGGACTGCTTATACTTCTTGGAAGCAAAGAAAAAGTTCATTCTCCCCTGACTTGGGTAACTGAGCCACCGTCATCATTATCTCTGTAGAATGTATTAAGAACAAAGGTATCTAACATTATGTTGGTCACCACATAGAGTGGGTTGATGGGTAGAGTTTGGATATCTTCATCTATTTAATTTATTTTAAATCAGTCTTCAGGTATGTCCTGGAAGCTGGGCTCAGAACTGGCCTGAAGGCTCTGCAATATATGTAAAAGCAGCATGAGGTTTGGTTCCTAACCTAAGGGTACACATTGTCTTTAACGCAACTCTTTTTAGGCTGAATTTACAATTGCTTCATACAATAAAGAAATGTAAGAAATTCAGACACATTCCCAAACACTTGAGAGATCAAAAGTCCCAGGCATTCAAACAGCAACCTAGTTGTCCCTACAAGTGAAAAGAGAACAGAATCCACAAGTACCCACGAGACCACAGGATTGTGCAAATATAGTATTTATTGAGTGTCTGCTTTGTGCTCAGCACTACTCAGACATTGTGGATAAATACAAAAGATTTAAGAGATTAGGTGCCCATTTCAGAGGGTGGCATGCAATTGGGATTTCCATTCACTTCACCGTTAGAGAACAACAGACATCAGTTTCTACCAGGTGCGCTATGTGCGAGGCATCATGGAGGCCTCAGGAGCTAAATAGCTTGGATGTTAGAAGGCTACATCTTCTGACACTCTCTGGATTCTTCTCTGTTCCTTAGAATTGTCAACCAGAGGAAGGCATGGTCTTGTCCAATCGTCACTGGGCAAATCACTATAGTACTTAGACTAGGTTAATGTGAAGAGAGTGTGTCACCCTATGCACTTGAATTAGAATGAAGTGAACAATGTGTGTCATTCTTAAATCTCTGCAGCTCCATAAGTGCACGTGCACCCTTCCAGATTCCATGCAAGGCTCCTACACTGATTCCCGCCCCGTATGCATTTCCCCCCAACTCCAGGAACACAACAGACATTTGCATTTCCATTACCCATGAACAGCCTGGGAGGCCAAAGGCACACTTTCTCTATTATTCTCAAAGATAAACATTTCTTTTAGGAAACAGAGCAAGTCAAATATTGAGGCAGAAACAAGTAGTAAAAGCAATGCAAGTGAAGAGGCCCTCTCCTTGGCATGCCTTCTTTGGACAAATTTCCTGAACAGAGCCCTGGTGGTGATGGTTAATGACACCTTTATAATCTCATATTTTCTGTACTGTGGGATTAACATTACGTATAATAAAATCAGCTCAAGAGGAAATAAAATGATTTTTCTAAAAGGAAGTTTGAAGATCTTCACCATTTTGGAATCCTGGGTTATTTTCTCCTTTACTCAAATTCACGGAAGAATAAGGATTTTCTTCACTGCTCGGTTGATTTTTCCTGTTAAATAAAATGAAGTCACCTTAATATAGTGATGTTAGAATGACACCGCCTCCCTTGGGCTCCACTGGGCCCAGGCAATTTCACATGTCAACATATAATCACTGGTGTATTTGTTTGTATATGTCTCCTGTTAATGGACTCTAAACACCTGCACAGCATTAGGTTCACTTCTCTAGCTTTGGTTGTCACCATGGCTGGCAGAGCATGAGAGTCACATTAGGATATGAACTCTGGGGTCAGAGAGAGGGGGTCTCTGTGCCTCAGTTTGCCTATTCAGAAGATGATAGCAATTATGTGGAGCCCATGAAATAATGCTGCCAGAGCTCTGACAGTGCCTGGCATGTAATCCTCAATTAAATATGAACCATTATTATTTTTAGGAACTCACTGGTCATTTAGCCAATTATCTCACGTGAAAGAGCTCCCTACTGTATCACCATCTTTCAAAGTGTGAAAATCACGGTAGGGCAGCTTTGTAGTATAACCACCAGCTTTGAAAACTGGCTGTATATTCCAGTCTGTTACTCATTAGCTGTGTAGACTTGAGAAAGTTACTTGGCCTCTCCAAATCTCAGTTTTACATATACATGAAGGTAAGTACACGGTTACATCACAAGTTTGCTGAAAACATTAATGTATGAAAGTATGGAGCAGGGTAGCCAGTCTTATTTTTATATGTACCTTCCATTAACATAGTGTGTAGCATGAAGATATCCCCAAATAATGTATTTAATGAGTTAACTTTGGGACAGGATCTCATGGGCAAATTTTTAGCATGTAGAAGAGTGCTTCTCAAACAGTAATGTGTATGCGGGTCACCTGAGGGGTGATTAACAAAATGAAGATTCTGATTCAACATGTCTACAAGACATTGATGACTTTGGTTGGCTTTATAAAGGGAACTTGGAGGCAAAGGGTGACAGAGAAACTCTATATATTCTTTTGTGCTTTTACATTTTTAGCCATATGGATGCATTCTATTCAATACCTAGTTTTGGAAATGAAGCTACTTTGGGGGAACTAAAGCACTAGAGTTCTTTAGTGCATGTAAAAATTCCATCAAGAACATATGTAAACAACCCAAGTGTGCATAGAGTTCTTTAGGTGCTATAACATATTATTACATAACCCCAATGAAAGTAAATGACTTGTCAAGGCCAGGTGAAAAAAAATCTAGTGACAGAACAAGATTATAAACCATGTCTCAAGTGATTAAATTCGATGAACTTGGATCTTCAACTCAAGAACAAATTAGAGGGTAGTGGACCCAGGAATGAGGGAGATAATAGTAAGTCTGCACTACCCAAGGAAGAATGAAGATGATTAGAGAGTAGCAGTTTGAAGCAAATGTCAGAACTCATTCCTACATGTTTCACACTCCAAACACATTACGCATGCAGTCTCTAGGGCCATGTCTAGACCCAGGAGAACTCATCAGTGATGAGAGCCCCGTAAGCCAGCCCACTGCTCAGTTTATAGTGCCTGCCGGCAGTAGGGAAATGATGCTGTGGCCAGGAGGGAGTTTACCAGGGTATGCTGGTAAACTCCAGGCTGGGCCGCTACTGTGTGGTAGGGCTTGCCAGGAAGGCAAAGCACTGAGGAAATGCGCTAATTGTCTTGTACAACCTACCACTTACTGCAGAACTTCCCGTCGGTTTTCCCTAAACCTTTGTTTTAGGGAAACAAAGTCTAGGAGAAGTCACTTACTTCCTTCGGTCTCTGATCCCGGTGAAGATGAGCACGGCAATACCAGCCGCCACCGCTCCCATCACAACCCCAAAAACAATCAGCCAGATGGTGACAGCTGGCTGGTAAGGGGGTTCCAGTGTAGGCTGAATACCCAGAAACTCCAGGCTGTTGTCATCCAGGCGAAAAGCATCATTGATGCGGCCCCGGGACTTCCTAGTCACAAAAGCAAAACACTTAGGCAAAAGGAACACTTGGGAAAAATAAAATGGATTGTAATTATTTACTCCTTATATTGCTGCTTCTGAACGAATTTGATAAGGCTTATTTTAAGAATGTAGACATGGAATGGCAATGAAATCAAAGTAGATAACCGACCCTGGCTTGTGTGGCTCAGTGGATTCAGTGCTGGCCTGCAAACCAAACAGCTGACAGTTCAATTCCCAGTCAGGGCACATGCCTGGGTTGCGGGCCAGGTCCCCAGTAGCAGGTGCTCGAGAGGCAACCACACATTGTTGTTTCTCTCTCTTTCTCCCTCCCTTCCCCTTATTCTAAAAATAAAGAAATAATGAAAGTAAATCACCAGGTTCCAGGAAAAAGATATGCTTTAATAGTGAGGCACCTTTAATATCTTGCAACCTGGATTAGGTTTGGCAACAGTTTCATTGGATAAGTGGTTGCAAGTGTAGAAACATGCAAATGAATAGCCTTTGTTCACGTGTGATGATTGTGTTGCAATGGCAAAGTTACCATATTTGGCAAGAATTTCCCTCCTGTCAGAGCACATCTACAATGACTTCATATCAAATAATGGAAAAAGAACAATCGAATGCACCTCTTCCACAAAGGAACTGGGTCCTGGACCCGGTTGTATTTTCCCAATAAAACGTGTTGACATTTGGAAGCAGCACTGGGGAGAAACATAGGAAAAGGGCCTTTGCCGATTTCTCCAGCACTGGGATGGGGCGTGGTTGAATTTTATGGGTAAAAATGGATGAAGATTATTTTTAAAGCAAAACAAAAAATAGTGAAATGGAGACTATTCCAGTTGAAAAACCAAAATGTCTGGTATCCCATCCCCCTACCCTTGAGTACCCTTGAAATCAAGAGGTCAGAGGCCACCCAGGGAGGGAAAGAGGTCAAAGCAGAATTAGTCATCTAACCCCCAGCAACCTTAGCCTGAAAGTGTTTCAAGTGTTTCAAACAGGAAGTTCGAGGTTCCCTGCAGCTTTCAGGAGGGCTGTGTTTCTTTCATGATGATCTCAGCTGGCACTTTTTCACAAAAGGGAGACAAATCATTTGGAAGTAGTGAGTCTCTGGGTGCGGGTAGGTTGTACACCCACCCAAGTCAGATCTTACAGTCACGCAGTGCCCAGCAGGTTCGAAGCTCAAGAGGGCCACCTACTGAGCTGCCGCACATCAGGGTATCCTGAGCTTTTTAATACAAGAGGAATCATGGTCATCTACCCATTCTTCGCTTTTGCTGTTTTGGGCAACAGCTGAGGCAAATCGAGCGAGCCGTTTCTTCTAAATGCACACTGCCCACAGCAAGTCCCTCTCCTTGGGTACAGGCTAACCAATGTCTAAGGAAACCTATGCTTCCCTACTGTGTTTCAGACTTTGGTTAGTTAAATGAGTCCTACATCCAAGACCCCATAGCAAATGATGGTAATACCAGTCCACACCCCGTCTGCATTTAGTAAACCATTTTCCATGAGTGCTGGCCAGCCTGAGAGCATTCTCAGGCCACAGGATTCTGCCCGGCTGAGGAATGCATGTCACCTGTAAACAGTTCCCAACCAAAACTGTAAACACCAGAACTGTAAACGGTTCTGACTGGCGAAAGATGCCAAATAAATACCCCAGCTCTACTGGGACCATCTAGGTGCATATTCTACACATGTCTTCTCGAATTCCTCAGCAAAATGCCACTCCAGTTGCCCATGGTGCTAATTTGCTCAATAGTGTGTCATGTATTATGTTCCTTCCATCCCTGTCTCCTGTGTGCATTTCTCTCTATCAGTGCTTCTTGAGATCACCTCCTAAACAAACTACTTACACTCGAATCCTTGTGTAAGAGCCTGAATCTTGAGGAATCCAAATGAAAACTATCCCCTTGCGATGAGATCCCTTCAGAACGAAAACCCAAGTTTTGAAGATAAGGTAAAACATATAAATGACTCGGACCAGCGCCTGGCACACAGTCAGAGATGCTCAATATTACATTTGTTAAGCCTCTCAACCTTACAGTTTGAAAGTAAAACATCACCTGATGGCCTCTTCAACTTCACTTCTGGGAATGATGTCTGACATATTGTTAGGCAAAGTGACAAAGAAGTTGAAGGAGACTCTTGGTTTCAAATCACTCACCCACACGTCCTCCGCCCTGTGGAGAAGCAAAAGAAACATCTTCCTTTGTAGCCCAGAGGACACAGTGAAGTGAATGAAGACTTCCACTGCTAGAAAGGAGATTGGTGGAGGGCCACGGTGCGTTAAGTAGAGAAATAAGGGGCAGGGCAAACAATGGAATGACGCCATTGTCCATAAAAGCTTAACATTGCCCAAAGCAAATGAACTTGGCTACATAAGCTGTGATAGCGTTTTTTGTGCTGCCACTATCTAAAAACCACTTTTTTTTCAATGATAGATAAATGTCAAACTAACAGCAACAGAAGAATCAGCGAGGAGTCACTAGTGAGTCCGGACGGTGATAAACAACATGGTGGGCGGTAATGGCTTAGTAACATGGACAGAGGGGTGTTTACATCCTGCAGTCCCGCCCCACTCCACGAAAGTGTCCTGTTATACACACTGGCATGGGTAAGGAGTGGGGTTCACGGTACAAAGTGATGAGAGCGTGCTCTCACAGCTGCCAGAGTGTGTCTAATAAAATCGAAGGCAAATCATGTCGCTCATAGCCCTTCTCACTCGGAATAAAAGCCCAAGTCCTTAGAATGGCTTGTGAGGCCCATATGAACTTCCTTCTCCCCTCCCAACCCCCATGTCCCTAACCAGAGTCCTTCTTTCTTGTCTTCTACTAGCTCACTCTGTTCCAGCCACACTGGCCTCCTTGCTGACCCTTCAACAGGTGAAGGATATTTATTCCTCAGGATCTTTCCGCCTGCTAGTTTCCCTGACTGAAACATTTTCCCCCAGTGTCTGCATTACAGGCTTTCTCTCGTGCTTCATATATTTGCTCAAATATTAATGAAATCTTTTCCGACCATGTTAGTTAAAATTGTACTCTATACACTCACACACACACACACACACACACACACCAGCACTCCCTAGCCCCTTTCCTATTGTATTTTTCTCCCTAGCATTTATCACCATCTAATTCTATTATATTTCACTTACATATTTTGTTGATTGTCTATAACACGCGCATACACACACACATGACATATCTATTAGAATACCAGTACAAGTTCCATGAAGGGAGGTTTCTGCCTTTTTCTTTCAGTGTTAGGGGTAGATAAGAGCACTTAGGGGAGGGAAGGAAAGAAGAAAAAAGAAAAGAGGGAAGGGGCGGGGAGGGGGCGCAGAGGAGGGGGCATTTAATCAGAGCAATGCTCGTGCAATCTACAAGTCAAATGAGTCACAACCATTTCTAAATACAGTGGCCCACATTTTAGGATATCAAAGAAGTCTAAAAGGTATTAGGAAGGTTTTCTTAATTTCACTTGAGTAAAACGTCAAGCATAATATCTTCTCGGACCCAAGAATAAGAGTAGTACTGGGTGGAGTAACCCGAAAACACAGCGAATCAACTCACCTAAAAGGAATCGTCTGGTCTTTGACATCTGAAAAATACTCTCTCATGGCATATGCAATAGACGACTGGAAGAAGTACATTTCATTGTCGTTCCATTCATACTGCAAATTCAACAGGAAAATCACTGCTCAATGGGGATCACAGGATACAGGCAAGGCTTGATAGCCCACAAGCATTATTTTTAAATTTTCTAATATTTCAAAGATTCTTGCTATTTATTAAGTCAGTGACTTCCAACCTGAGTGTCTGGCAGCATCACCTGACACCTTGTTAAACCACCACATACTGGGCCCCACCCTCACAGTTTCTAATTCAGAAAGTGATGAGACCCAAGAATTTGTGTCTCTAATGAGTTCCCAGGTAGTACTGATGGTGCTGGTCAGGCAACCACGCTTTAAGAGCCACTGGGTTCACTGATTCTTTAGTTTTATTGTAACAGGAAATAAGGCCTACAGATGGGAACCGCACAAGTCGTGGGTTTTGGTTCACATGTCCATATATTGCAGACAAATATGCCGAGTTTTTACTATTTTTCTAGTAAGTTCTCAAACCTGTGTAAGTGTAAAAGAAAAAGAAGGTTGGGTTCAAAAGAAAAAAATTCTTTGTAAACTAGGTAATTCGTTTGTTCTTGTTTTTCAGTGCTAAACAAATGGTTTGTGTATTGGCATAGTCTATGACAGCTTGTTAAAACAGAAGGAAAAAAGCATTCACTCTTTCCTCCAGTAGGTGGCAGTAGAGATTAATGAATGGCACAAATCTTGCATCTCTCCTGTCTCTTTAAGAAAACCAATTAGACAGGAATTCACAAAAGAATTGCTACATCATTAGTTTCAGCTTGCTATCACTCAGATTCTGAAAAAAGTTTCTTTAATAGTAGTAATATTATTAATATTTGCTACCAGTAATATTCTGATTCCTTCCTTTCTTTTCTTTCTTTCTTTCTTTCTTTCTTTCTTTCTTTCTTTCTTTCTTTCTTTCTTTCTTTCTTTCTTTCTTTCCTTTCTTTCTTTCTTGACAGAGCAATCAATGTTCTGTTATCAAGGCCTTTTCCTTACATTTGACCAAAATAGGTATCAGAGAGAAAACTAAAATACAAACAAACAACAAAACAAAGCGAAGAAATCCCAACCACCACCAGGTGAAATCAAAGACTTCACAGCTGTTGACACAGTCCTAGGCAATATCCGATAATTTCTTGATGACCCTGGCCTGGTCTGGTTATTATTTCTATATGTTTAAAAAAAATAAAGGTTGAGTTCCCAAAAAATACAACTGGACTTTTCCGTGAAATAGCCTGAGCTGAACAGGCCTAACCCTGCTGTGTAGTAGATGTGTTAGAGGGATGGGTTTGGTCTCATGAAAGGAGACTTTCGTTCACTGAACCGGCCTCAGAATGTTCAAACCCTGTGAAGACTGCTTACCCATCCCTCGCTGTATGGAAAGTGCACATGGGACGAACGTCGAGCAAAAAAGAAGATAATTGAAAAGGAACCTGATGTGCTGGATACTTGAAAGGAGTTAAAATTTATTAGGTCAGGGGACAACTAATAATGACAGAAAGAGAAATAATCCCACAGACAACGATTGTTAAGAAAATAGGAAGTTGAACTTTTAGGGTTTGGGAAGTGCTGCAGCTCTATTTTTATTATTTATTTCTTCAATGTTGACTTTTACTTCTGTGTTATTTACATGCAGATGTCTTAATTGTTTATGAATATTACACTACAACTACTGTGCAGTCTTGGATAATATTTAACCTCCCAAGACAAGTAAGGGGATACAAATGTAACCTTTGGATCCATCCGGTACAAATGACAATTTACTGTAGCACTTTGGGTTGTTTTATCCAAGAGTCCCAGATTGTCCTCGGATCCTGCAGAGCCTTCAGGGTGCCGTGCCCCACCCAGGCCTTGCATCCCCATCTGCCTGAGACGGCACTTTCCTCTTTCCCAACGGAAGCCACTACTTCTTCAGACTGAATGACGTGAGACAGGTGTTAAGAAGAGAGTGCTTGGCCAATTAAAGTAATGCACAAGAAGGTATACGTAATAGCATTGTCTGTAAAACATTTTCGTATCCCAAAATGCACATGGAAAGCTTTGAAACTCTTGATGGCATACTCCAGAGCAATAAAATCAGAATCTCGGGGAGTGGGACTCAAGCACTGTATTTTTAAACCATCCTATATGACTCCAATGTGCAGCCAGATTTAAGAAACGGTTCTAAATCAGTACTTATCATTTATACATATAACCTGGGGGTTTGTTCAAATGCAGGTTGTGATTAGGCAAGTCCCAGGCTGGGGTCTAAGATTCTGCATTTTAACCAGCTTCCAGGATATAGATGGTTGACTAAAACAAAACAAAGCAAAGCTGGCTACATTACCTCTAAAAACAAACAATCTATCAAAATATAACCATGGTCTCCTCAAATACCAGTAATAGTGTTAAGAGTGAATTGGACGGGTGGGGGTTTGGTATTTAAATGTGAGTGTTTTCTCATTGGTCTCCAAAATACCTTCAAGGCAGCAAGGAAAAAGCGTCAGATAAGGAATGTGTTACAGAAAACAAACAAAAGGCAAAGGCCCAAACCTGGGACTTGCAGTTCCCAAGAGAACCATGTGGGCTCTCATCTTTTAGTCCTCACTGGGACGGGTTTGCTGTGTCCCAATTAAGGGAGGCCAATGAAAAGCCATGGGCGCGCTGTCCCGAATACTCACTGCTTTGTCTCCAAGAGCTGATTTTAGGCTTATCCTCACTTTGATGCTTTGTGCAGTGTCTGATGAAAGAGAGATCACAGACTGTTGTTACAAAAGACAGATCGACCATGTGTGTTTATTTCCTTCTCACCCCAAGACCCCACTAAATGATAGTAAAGGGATTTTTAAAAATGTATAAATACACTTTTTGGAAAATGAGAAGTAATGGAGGAGTGGTAACCGCTTTCTCAGTGGTCAGGATGGAATGGCCTAATGTATACAGAGACCTCAGACCTCGGGCAGCGGAGGTGGGTAGAAGATACCAACTATTCTTTTCAGTCTCATCCTTTGCTGCTTTTTCTGCATTGAATCCACTGCTTCCTGGGTTGTATGTCTTCTTTCTTGAATTAACTCTTCTTTCTGGCAGTTACTTTCATATTTCTAAACAACTTGCTTATATTGTTATTTGTGAGTTTTTTGGTTAGTTTTAGACATGTACTTCTGCCTACCCTTCTGCCTCTCTTTGTCACAAAAAGTCACAAAATAAGGGATATAAAATAGTAGATTTCTTGGCTTTGCAGACATAATGACATAAATATTAATCATTTCTTCACTAACAATCAGTGTTAAGCTTTATCATCTTTTCAGAACAGGATTCGAGTCTAATGGGTTGGGAACTGTGGGACTCTTATTTTCAATATCAGGCTAACAAATCAGGAGGGGGTGGTTTTCCCTGCACATAGTAAGTATTCAAACAACATTGTTTCCTCCCCAATAAAATGACAGTTGCCGTCACAGCAGTCAGAAGCAGAGTCTACTCAGAGTGCAAACATACTCTGCTATGTCTCAGGCCCATGAGACTGAGGATGGAAAGGACTAGGGGACGCAGAAATATGTTAACTCAGTGAACTTACATGGACTCCAGTCGGTGTCCCATCCCACAAAAGAGTCCCTGTTCTGGTCTTTCAGCCAGGTAAACAAAGGCTCGAAGTAGTTGAGCAGTGGTCTTACATCCATTTGCTTTTCTTCTACAGAAGCTTCCAATGCACGGGTCCAGGGTTCCGATTTGCCAAGTTTCAGCATTTGGCTATGTGAAAAAAGAGAGCTAGGTTCAGGGCCTTTGGGAGGATTTCAGATGTACATTATAATTACATGTATGATCTATGGTTTCTCCTCTTTGGCTTTGGTAAGTTTGCTCTGAGCACATAAGAAACTAATGCATATTAATGGAAGAATTCATACTTTGATCTCTTTCCCCTTCCAAGTACACTATAAAGAAAACCCTGTAGTTATGACATGAAGAAAGGAGGTGGTCTGTCCAGCCACCATATAGTCTAGGTTCCTGTGTGACCACAAAATAAAAATGTAATTAGTGGTTAGGACATTTGGGAGCCAAAATTTTTCTTTTTAGAAAAAGAAACCTCCTAGATGGTGTGGCTCAGTGGATTGAACGCAGGCCTGTAAACCAAACCATCACCTGTTTGATTCCCAGTCAGGGCACACGCCTGGGTTGCAGGCCAGGTCCCCAGTAGGGGGTGTGAGAGAGGCAACCACACACTGATGTTTCTCTCTCCCTCTTTCCCCCTCCCTCCCCCTCTGTCTAAAAATAAATAAATAAAATCTTTTAAAAAAATCAAATTTGAAGCTAAGCATGGAAATGAATAATTTTGCGTAGCAGTACAGGTGCGACATTTTGAAGCATTTCTTACAGCAGCTTCTCCCCAGCTGCGGTGGAATTTGAAATGTCACATTTGTGCAGGGGACCTTCATGTTGAGCTACTCGACAAAGGGCTTCTTGAAACTGGAATTGAAAAATGGTCCTTGTGTAATAACTGCAAGAGAAAGAAAGAAACAAAAGAAGCAGGCCCATGTTTAGTTGCTGTAGTAGAGTCGTTGATTGGGGCATATATTTCAATTCTGAGACCCTAGTAATCAAAGACATAGTCATCAAAGCTCTTTCCCCAGAAAGACCTAAACAGGAATCCTTACAGACTTGTCATAACCTACTTGCATTTCTGTATCAGCTGATAAAAATGCTGTATTATTTCTTGAATGCTAGCTCACATCTATATTGTGTTTCACAGATTTATAGCCCTTTCATATAAGTGATACTAATCAATCCTTACAGCAGGTGAATAATATGATTTCCTCTGTACAAATACAAAACTGAGGCTCAGCAAAATCAACATCTGGGGCTAATAGGTGAAGAGCATAGGTTTTTGCACTTCATGTTAAAAATGCTAATATTACAGTCATTCTGAACAAGACAAAAAACACTTGCTTGTTTTCTCCCAAGGATACTGTAAATTCCTCAATGGTAGAGAAGCAATCCCACAGTTTTACTTAGCACAATGAAATCTGTTGAGTTAAATTTAATAGAAATTGATCATCTATCTTGAGATTTTAGGGGGGGGAAGGTGCATAGAAATAGGAGAAATTATAGCCACTGCTTCATAGACCCCTATTTCTCTACCGTTAGCACAGCTATCCACAAACCCTACAAGTTAAACAGTGAGAAGAAACTATAATTTACCGGATGAATGAGTAATCATTAGCAACATGGAACAGAGACGCAGGATCACAGTATGTTTCATCATGGGGCACAGGTTCCACCACACCAACTATTTCTCGCCTTTGGGGAGAAAAGAAGATATGTTAGCTGTGGGTCACTCACCATGAGAAGAGAGAGTTGGGTCCAATTAGCGCCGTTTCCACAGCCAATGGCACTAGAATTGGCCGTCAGATGAAATACAAACAGTGCCCAAAAATTATAGACAATAGCTCATTATGTGGTCAACTCTTCCTTTTTTAATTCAGCCGGAGTATACCATTGGAAAATAACTGTGTCTTCAAAACAAGGATTCAACAAAGTGCATTGCATGGCCAAAAACACACAGTTGAAAGTCCTAAGAATTCCTCTCTGGCACCACGGTAAAGTTGAAATCTTACTTTTTCTTCAAGGCTAGCTCAAATGTACCCTTCTGTGAAGCCTGCCCCTGTTCCCACCCACCTGCCAGCACAGTGAACCTCTCCAGCTCCCTTAGCCTTCTCTAGCTGCACCCTCTTTGTCATTTCTCTCTCCACTTTATAATGATTCATGTCCACATCTTCTTCCCTGGGAGACAAGCTCCCCTGGAGGGCAGAGCTGTGTCTTGGTCATCTCTACAGTTCCAGTGTCAAACATGGTGTCTAATGCTAAGGAAAAATGTCATGTGTATTTGTTGAATGAACAGAGTAATGAATGTATGAATGAACCATCTTAAGGGTCTGATTCCATGTCCCTTTAGAAATAAACTAAAAGGCATCAAGAATGATTCATTTAGAAAAAAGGGCCAGGCAATCATGCATTTGGCATTGTTTAAACTGAATACATTTATTTGTACTGTCTGAGTGTGGGAATCATTATAGACACAATTTTAGTAATACTCAGACACTAGAAATCCCAAGCAACATTTATGTTAACAAATGCAACACTGGCAAAAAAAAAGTGGCGCTGACTTAAACTTATGGATATGGGGCTGAATGTTACATAGTTAGGTCTTCACTACAAAAAGGAAAAATAAGAAAAACAAAACAATTGATGGGCACCTACTAGATGGTGAGGAAAATATTTCCCTTCCTCCTTTCCTTCCTTCCTCCTGCCCTTGCTTCTTCACTCCCTCCTTCCTTCTATCCTGTATGTACCCTTTTGGAATCTTTCATCCAAAACCCATTTATTTCATATCCATAGGTATCAGGTACTGTCCAAGGCACTTAGAAAACAGTGACAAACAATGTATTGCTGGAACTACTGCAAGCGATCATTATCTGTTACCCAAATGTGCCAGGCTCTCTCTAGCTTGAAATTCTCTCTGTTCCCCTCTACATACACCTGGTTAACTCCAACACCTTTCTCAGAGCTCAGCTTGGATGCCTTTCTTCATCTGACCCAATGGATTTGGCCTTGGATCTCCCCTTGGCTGTTCATGGATCCCAATTCCCTCCTATATCATAATACAATAGGTTGCAGTAGTTTTATTTTCCACATCCCTCTATAAACTAAAGTTCTTTGAAGTAAAAGACAAACTGATAAGCATTAGATCCCAGGGCTTTGCCTAAAATGTGGAATCAATATATTTTTGTTTAAAAGAATAAATAGAATGAATTAATTGATCGCTTCCTAAATATTATCACATTTTAATGGGGGACTGAACACTCAAGAAGATGAGTTTGAGAAGTTGTGTCACCTGACCGTGCTTGGGTGGGGGCAGAACCAAAAAGATGTTATCTGAGGAGAGGACACCCAAATAAAGTCTTACAGAAATGGAAGCACATAATGTCTTGTGGTGCTGGTGGTGCTGGTGGTGGTGGGTGCTGTGTCTGGTGATGGTATTTTCCCATAGCCTAAACACACCTCTCTCTCGTTTTCACATACTTAGCCCCACCTCCACAGATTTCAAGACAACTGGTGAATTCCAAGTTATTCTCACCATAACTAATTTTCTGAGAAGCCCAATCCTAGTTGGGTTATCACAGAAGCAAACTCTGAGACGAGGTCCTGAGAAATGACCCCAGGAAACATGGGTAAAGGAGTGAGGAAGTGAGACAGGGAGGAAAAAGCAGCTCTTAAAAGACATGTTATCAAGCAAGTTCACAGTCAATCCCTTTTAAATAAACAGCAAACTCATGAGAAAATGTTTTACTAGCTGTGCATTGATTGACTTACTTCATCTCCCACCACTTTTTCATCCACTGCTCTTTGGGAATTTCACCCTTGAAGACCATCCACCTCCACTTTTCTAACATGTAGGTGAATGGTAGAGTTCCAACAATGTTAAGTGCTTGTTTGAGTAGGAAGTTTATATCTGTTTCTGAAAGTAAAAGGAGAAAGATAAATATTAAGATGAGGATGACAGATGTTCTGTATTGGATAATTTCCCAACCCCAAAATATTCCTCAAAATATACTTACTCTAATGATGGTTACATGAGAAATATTGACAGTTGAGATAATAATAATGTATATATTCATTCTCTCAGCTAAGGGATTTGGAGTAAAGTGAAGTCTTAGATAGAACAGATAAAATAAGTCCACAAGTAACCCCCAATACTCATTTTTTAAATTAGTTTCAATTGTCTTCTTTGAATGTCTCTTATCAGAACTTATTAAAGCTATTTTATTGACTTTCACAGTCATACTGTTCATTTTTGTTAAGTTCCATGAAGGCAGTGACTGGTAATGTTCCATTCAAGACTGTATACCTTGCCTGGTGTCTACCACATAATACCCCGTGTCTTTGTTAAATAAACAAATAGTAAACAGCTGTGCCCCAAAGCCAGCTAACTACACAGTAAAACAAGCAAACAAACAAACAATCAAAAAGAACCTCCCTAGAAGAATAAACCATTTACTGGATAGTTGGAAGTACAATGTACTTTAAATGTACTGACATCTTCCTTACATGAGTTTAAAATGCTTTAAGAAATTATGGTATTTCTTTAGATTCTATATTTCCCATACTATTCTTGCCCTCCCCCTATCTATTTTCTACCTACCGTCTATGCTACTTATTTTCTGTACCTTCTCCCCCCTTCTTCTCCTCCCACTCCCCTGTTGCTAACCCTCCATGAGATCTTCATTTCTATGGTTCTGCTCCTAATCTAGCTGTCCTTTTAACTAGAGGGGGGAATGGTGAGGGTGGGGGGTGGAGGGGAATGAAGGGGGGAATAGAACAACTATAATGGCTTAATCAATAAAATATATATTTTTAAAATTCATGATAACTATTTAATTTAAAAAATCAAATCCCCCCCCAAAAATTATGGTATTTCATGCATCCTTTATTAGTGATGTAAAAAGACAGTAGAACTCACTCCAGTGTACAAATGAAGCTCACCGAAATGTAAGCAGGGGGATGTTCTCTACTTGGCATACCACTCTATCTCTAGTGTCAAGAAATATGCCTTGCACATAGTGAGTGCTTAATAAATATTTATGGAAGAAGAAAGGGAGAGAAAGAGGGAAAGAGAGAGATAGAACAAAGGAATTTATTTAACATCATGCACTAATCAGGGACACAGCCAAGAAAAGGGGTTTTTCAAACCAGTGGTTTCACCAACCATGTTTAGTAGGGTCTTTGTGATTCAAACTTTCCCTGCTGTCAAGGAATATTTTTTTAAATGATAAAACAAATAATTGTCTATTAATTGACTTGGAATGATATTTAAAAATTAATAAACAGGTGTAGTTATTGTGAACGCCCTTTTCTTTGTTTCTCACATCATGGGAGAATGTGGCTGCTTATCGATTCCCCACTGGGTCTGCCTACAGTAACTTTTTCAGACATGATGATGGCTTTACACTGACCTACTCCCAGGCTCTCATGAGATCAGTAAAATCTGGAGTCAGAAATCAAGGCAAAGTGAACTGCCCACACAAGAACTGAGCTCATGACCCTGACCTCATTGGCCAGAACTTCCAGCCAGCGGAGCTGATGTTTATGTCCCACATAACTAAAATGAGGGGACAGAAATACTCAAAAGAGAAGAACATATTTAGCTCTTAGTGTCTTTTTACAAGGAAGAATCACAAACATGGTATCCTCATTGAAGGATCTAGACCTTGTGAACATTTGCTGTGTTCTATCAAGTCTAAGCCATTCAAAGAGAAACAGGCTACCTCAGGCACGGATGTTGAAAAATAGCACAGACCTGAGGAAATGTTATGAGAGCAAATTCATGCTTCTGCTGGATGAACAAAATGTTTCAGTCCCTTCCAATCTTGATATTTTACCACCTGTTTTTTAGAATTCCCAAATTTCCAGTTACCCTTTATTTTGCATAACGTTATGGGAAAAGCTTTAGATTAAGGCCTTGATTCTTGTTTGGCCACGTTGCTATTTGACCTTGGGCTGGTTATTTTCCCTCTCTTGTCTCCACTTTGCTTCCTCTGCAAAATGGTTTTTAGAATCTGTTCCCTCCAATATTTTGGGAAGTTTTTTACCTAGAACCAGAGGGATCTAGTTAGAATTCTGACACTAATTAGCTAGGTGACCTTGGATAAGCCATTTCACTTCTGGGGACCTGTTTATGCATCATTTTAAAAACCAACCATCAGATGTTTCTCAAAGTGCCAACATCATTCATTCAGTTACCTCTCTTATGTCCTTTACAAGGATGCACAACTACAAATTGGCAGGCCATGATAAATACTTCATTTTTAAGGTAGTAGCAATTCCAAGTTATTCATAAATACCTTTATGTGGCAAAAATCAAATATATCCTATGCATAATAATAAACACCTTTGCCCACGTCAGACTAAAGAATCTCCAAAATAAGCCATGAAAAAAATGTCTGTACCATTGTCTTCATGGAAATCAGATGGCAGAAGACCCAGAACTTTCAAATGCTTAGGTGTAGCTACAGAAAGTGACATGATTTCCCCAACAGCTTCATGGAACCCTTCATTTGCTCCATTTCTTAGTAGGAAGGGTTGGTTGGCATATGCCATGTCATACTGGATGTGTCCCATCTCATGATGAGCTGTCAGGAAGTCATCCATTGTCACCTTTGTGCACATCTTGATCCTACACATAAAGGGAGAAGATTAAAATGAATTTCAATTAATTTTATTTAATAATCACAATAGAGTTGTATGGGATTTCAGTAATATGAATCATCTCTCCAAGATTCAGTCACCAATGAATAATGAGGACCTACCTTTTAGATCTTAGAAACTATTCTAGGTGCTCAATATAAAGTGATGAGCCTAGTTGAATTCTTTTCTTCTTCTCACAGACTAACAGAAAGAAACATATATAGAGACCTCTACTACAAAAGCTCTGAGACAAGTACTCTGTAAATAATTAGTAGGCATGGCTTTGGGTATAACAACAAGTGATTGTAGGCACAATCTCCTAGAAGCACCAAAAAAGGCATAACTGAGGATGCAATGAGCAATCTGGACCTTGATCAGCATGCAGAAATTTTTGAGGTAGAGGGTAGGGAAGGGCAAAAGGTTTACATTCCTGAAGGTGCTCGCTCAGTGTGAAAGACTTAAGAAAGGAATGTTCTGTTCGGGACACTGAGCAGTTTGGTATAGCCAGGACAGAGAAGTAGTAGGAGAAGGGGCTGGAAAGTGATGGTTGGTAATCATTAGCACGTAAGTCAGGCAGTGGATGTGGTGGCCCAGGAAGCAGGTATAGGTAGAATGGAAAGAAAAGAGGGCCAAGACAAAGCTCTAGGAGGTCCTAGTATGTACAGAGTGGGAGACAAAGTTGGTTCAGAGAAGATAGAGAGAAGAGTTAAAGAAATCCGGAAGAGGATGACAATGCAGAGGCCAATGAAAAATAGCATTTCAAAGACAACTTGTAAATGTTATCTAATGCTGCTGTGGCCCAATGAAATAAGGACAGCATTTTGCAGTTAGGTAGTGATCCTTCTCAACTTGACAAGAACAATTTCATTCAGGTGAATGTAGGGGGTCATATTTCAGTAGGTTCCCAAATTAATTTTCCTGCCACTCTGACCATGTCATCTCCCTGATAACTACCCTTTGGACTCCCCACTGCTTAAGAATAAACTCAATCTTCTTCATATACTCCAACACGACTTGCTTTTCCAACTTGGTTTTTATCCTTTCTCTTTTGAAATCAATTATAAGAATAGCTACTATATATGTAATGTCTACTGTATGTAAGATCCTGTGCTAGGAAACTTACATATACTTATTTGTAAGACTCACTCAATACTGGAGTCAGTAAGCTATGGCCTGCAGCTGACCACCTGTTTTGATAAATAAGGTTTTATTAGAGCACAGCCATACCATATGTTTATGTGTTTTCTAGGGCTATTTTCATGCCACGACAGTAGAGCTAAGTAGTTGCAACAGAGACCTGCAAAGCCTAAACTGTTGGGTTGGCCAAAAACTCCATTATATATTTTTTCATAAAATAAAAGGCACATTTTTTATTTCACCAATCACTTTATTGATTTGGATGTTTTGAGCATGTCAGCTATCTTTCACTATTGGCTTCTAGTGGGTAGAGGCCAGGGCTGCTGCTAAACACCCTCCAATGCATAAGACAGCTCCACAGTAAAGTGTTATTTGGCCAAAATGTCAGTGGTACCAAGCAACTTCACAAACCACTTTTGACACATTCGATCAGTCACAGCACCTTCTCCATACATTGCAGAAATCTTTTTTTTTTTTTGCATTTCTATTGCCCTTTTACCTTTCTTGGTATAATAAAGCATAATATGCCAAAAATGTTGCAAGTCTTCTTCCAGCTTCAATACTGAATTGGCTGCACAAAAATTTACCAATTTTGATAAGTTTTTTTAAATGCATGCTGATATGACAGTGGTCACAATACAATCTAACAAAATTGTTTCAAGTGAAGTTAAAGACAACTAAGCACTATTAGTGCCATCATATGGAAAAAATGTAATGGACTTTTTGGCCAATCCGATGTTTGTTATCTGACCATTTACAGAAGAAGATTGTCAACTGCTACTCTAGTGGATGGTGCTGGAGTCCTGCCCAGATCTGCTTTACCAGGCAGATTCACCCATCACTCAGTTGCCTGAGGCATAGCCCTTAAAGGTGGATAGCTGCTTCCTTCTTCACTGTCTTTGGCTAAATGTGAGGTACCTTAACAAGGAGATCATGTTCTCCCTGCTCTGGCAGTCCACAGTCAATGACTGACTTAGGTAGGGGTATATATTAGTCACTTTCATACACCCTGTCTCAAGGTATGACCAACTCTGGTACAAATCTTGCTCCAGAGAGCCCTGTGGATGAAGCTGAGGCAAGTGTCCAGCTTAGAGCACATCCTTACTTAAAATTTTCACCTGCCCCATCCTGCTTCCCTCACTCCTCTTTGCTTGAGAGCTATTCCTCAATGCAGCACTTGTAAAGAATCTTTATCTCAAGCTCAGGAATCCAACCTAAGAAGCTCACAGACCTGCAAACTGGGTATTGCTATTCCACTTTATAAGTAAGGAAACTGAAACTCAAGAAGGTTAAATACCTTGCCCAAGATTGCCTAATCATTAAGTGGCACCTGGGATTTGAAAGCCTGTGCCCATTATGCCCTATCACACAGACCCTTCTTCACAGCCCTCTTTTTCTAGCCCAATCTGCTGACTCTGGGACACAATGCCACATCCTGTCTCTCTGCATTTAATCCTGCTATCCTTCCAGGCTGGAGTACTCCTCCAAGCTCTGTCTGCCTGAACCCTTCTGGTCTTTCAAGCCCAATTCAAATGCCACCTGAAAAGCCCTGTCTGAGCCTACCCGCTATTTCAGGTGTGGTCAGTTCTCTTCCAATACCTCCATTGAGTATTCTCTATTTCTCTTATAACACCACCACTTTCTTTTATCTCAGCTTATTTATTCACCCATCCTGTCTCACTCACGTGGAAGGGAAGATCAATGCCTGATTCACACATCCATCTCACATAAATCGTAGCACCAAAACTTTCCTAATGGGGGGCACCGCCACACCCATGACCATGCAACTCTAATGGGTACATATTATTTCATATGAGGCAAATTGTCCAAAGGTTCAAGTTAGGACCTGCTGACAATCCCATTTTTCTGAGAAAGCCCAGATGTGCTCTCATGGATTCTCAGCCTTCGTTAAAGGCAAGTTCATTCTCTGTGCTCAGAAAAGCAGAGAAGGAATTCCAATTCACCCTCTTCCCTTCCTCCATTGACTCCCATTTTAGTATCAGCTGTGTATCAGCCTCCTTACCTGAAGTCATTTTTCCCCAGATCCCAGGCTGTGGGGTGGCAGACCACTTCCCGGCCATCATCTGGCTTAGTTATCATGGAGTTATCCCAGAATCCTTGAGTCATATTAAAAAGGCCCACAGACATAAAGAACTTCTCAGCCTCCTTGAATATCCTCTGTGCATCCCAGGACTGAAAAAAAAAAAAAAAGAACAGCATTTAATTCTAGCATTAAAATAGCAGCATTCTTTCTGTTGGATATGTACATAGGCATAACCTTTCTGGGTGGCTATTGGACAACATGTATGGGCAGTTTTCATAGTATTTATATTCTTTGTCTCAATGGTCCTGTCTCTAGAAAACTAACCTAGGAATTTCTCAGAAACTAGGTCAAAGAATTAAATTAAAATGATGTTTGTTTATTATTGTTTTTAATTAAAACATATTTGACATATAACATTGTGTACATTTAAGGTATAAAGCATGTAAAATGATTTTAATAAGAGAAGTAGAAACAACCACTAGAATGGGTAAATAAAAATGATGACTGTGAAATGGAAAATTTAACAAATTAGCAAGTGAAAAGTTGAATATGTAAACCAATTATATAGTATACAATCTTAATGAGGAAATGCATGAAAATATTCACAGACTGGGTAATGTCATATGTGATGGTTTTTTGGTCTTTATTCTTTATATTCCAAGTATAAACATAAACAACGACCTCTTTGCTAAAAGCTATCTAATGCGAGCCAACAATTATTGATTGAGCTTCTTCAAGGAGTAAGGCCCTGATATTAGGCTCAGTGGTTGGAAGATGCAAACACTAACGTGAACATGAAGTCATGAGCTTTGGAACCAAAAAGGCCTACATGTGACCCAGTAGCCAATGTGTAGTTGGGCCTTGACTTCATAGTCTCTATGGGAATCTAAACTTCAGAATATTCTGGAAGCAGAGAGAGGCAGCAGTAGATGTTTCTCATCCAGCAAACTCTTCTGGGAGCTGACATTTCTTTGGAGATAAGGCCTATATCAGGCAAACTAAGTTTGTATAACTGGCAGATACTTCATGAATCACTTCTAGTAACACAGAAAACTTCCTTTGATCTTGAAAATCAGTTGAGTCTGGTTTTTCTCCTATTTCAGCCCTGGGGATATGAAGCAGGGTATGACACTATGGGTTTTTTAAATGATTGACCTATAAAGGCTTAATGTCAGGCAATATTGGTATTAATGAGTATGCCTTTCTTGAGCAGAATAAATGCATACCAAAACAGTATAGACTACTAAAAACAGTTAACATCTATTAAATAAAGAATGAATAAATAGGAAACCACACTAGAAATACTAGGTGCTCTCAGTTCAAACCTTTGTAGCTACTGACTGTCTTTGTGACTTAGGTGAGTTGTTCACCTGAGCCTCAGTTTTCTCACCTACAACATGAACTATCACAGTACCTGTCCTGATAGTCTCTTTGGTTTATTACAGAGACAACATTAGGAGATACGATATAAAAATACTGTAGCTAGGCTAAGGGGAGATATAAAGATGGGCTTCTGCTGCTGCTCAACTACAAAATGGGGTTACAACAGCTACAGGAGTCTGGAAGCCCTTGCAGCTCCATATTTTTATTCAGTTGTGGACTTTTCCTAGGAGTATGTTATGTATGTGAAGATGTTTGCTGCATTGCTGCTTACAGATTTAAAACTGTTAACAAGCAAAATAGTCCGGCAATGCCTAAAATGTAAAGTAAATTATGATGCAACTGTCTGAAGAAATTGTATACAAGCCAATACAGGCATGACTGTGAATTCTACCCAGAAAGTGTAGACTGGATTACCTGAATTTAAAAATATATAATTTTAACTTTATAATTTCTGTAAAACTATATAATTATATAAAAGTATATAAGGATAATTGATTTCCTCATTGGAAGGGACCACAAAGAATTTAAACAATCACACCAAGATGACAACAGAAAGGTGACTTAAAAATTATTTTAAAGACCTTTATAATATTTTTAACAATAAAGCATGGATACATGGAACAGACTGACAGCTATCAGAGGGTAGGGAGAAGCAGATACTGGATGAAAGAAGGTGAAGGGATTAGCCATAGAATACCTGTGCATAACCCATACACATAGACAACAGAGTGGTGATGGACTAAGAGAAGAGGGAGTGGAGACTGAGTGAAGGTGGGCAACGGGCTGGGGAGGATGAGGACATTGTAATAGTGCTAATAATACAAATAAAGTAAAAATTAAAAACAATAGTAATTTTTAATATGCAAAAATCTAATGTTATTCTTTTTTTCACTATTCACAGAGATTACTGACTGATTTCTTAGTAAGGACTAACTTTGGAAAAAATGCAGCCAATTAGCTGATAATTCCACGTCTTACTGCTTAATGGAAATCTCACATCATCTCCATTTTTAATATCTCTCAGTAAGATCAATACCCTATCTGTTATTCAAAGTACTTGATGTCATTGACATCATAAACCACTTTTCCATGAAGAGATAGCAGCCTAAGAAATAAATTGAAATTAGCCTGAAATGTTTATTTATATGATTTCATATACTACCAGATGGGAAGAAAAAGATGGCTTATAAAGAAATACAGTTGAGAATTTAGATTTGGTTTTCAAGGTCTCTTCTTCCTACCTTCTCAACCATTGCAGCAGTGACATCTATGGTTGGTTTATCTGCAAAGGGAGCTGTCAAATCATACAGATTTGTCCAAAATCTACCCCACATATCACCTATGAAAAAAACATTTTGTTAATATGTGACAAAGAGAGCAGAAGTATAGACCTGATATTTACACAGTGCATGAGGTGAGATTGGAAAATAGGCCACATAGTAATCTAGATTTAATCTAGTTTCTGTACTTCCTTTTCTCTATCTCTTTTTCTCTTCTTTTATTTGAAATTCTCAATACTCCCTTCTTTTTATATCTGCTCTAAAAGTTTTAAATGGCAGATTATGTGGTTAGGCAAAACCCACTAGGGAATCATTCTAGTTTCTCTCTTTTAAAATTAAAGTTCAAAGGCACAATTTATTAATACATATATAACACCATAGCTACTATAGATTAGAAACATATTCCTATAATCCATCATCCAAGGGACAAAAATACTATAAATTAAACTATTGGTAATCCCTAATGTTAGATTCAACAGAGATCATATAGAATCATCATTGAGGAGTCTCTAACTAGTGACTTTCACTATTATTATTATTATTATTATTATATAGTAGTATGCTTAACTTGGCAATTTTTTTAAACATCTCAAATAAATGTTAAATTGCATTTCAAGGCCAGAGACCCTAAAAGGAAAGATGTATCTAGAAAAAGTCAATTTAATAGCAGGATCAGAATCCTGACACCAAAAAAGTTGGGCAACATAACTACATAAAGAATACTCCAATGAAATCATGCCTTAAAGAAAAGTTTAACTACCTACTATAGAAATATGTGATATGTAACATTGGGCTGAAATATAGTGCACATGTAAAAGACCAAACGAGGCACAGCAAACAGTATGGCATGGCTTTCAAAACACAAATGTGACTTTAACATAAATGAATATAGTGTGTAGCACAAAGGAAACCATAGTACCATTTTTACTCTATGTTGGTCAAACCTCATCTGGAATAACTGTTCAGTTGTGGGCATGACACTAGAAGAGGGACATCAACGAAGGATAGCTTGTCCAAAGGAGAACAATTAGAAAGGTGACATTTTAAAAACTGGTTATAAAGCTGGGTAGGATATTTAACTTAAGATAAGAAAACAGTGTATACATGATGATAACAATAATACTCACTATAATATATTGAATACATATTCTTGTGCCAGGTACTATGTTATATCTTCTATGGTGGTTATTTACAAATATCTGGAAGGCCATCTTGTAAAATAATGGATATACCCAGAGTAATTTCATAACATAGAATTAGGCATAATGAATGGAAGGCATTAGAGGGGTGTTAATTCAGTTCCACACAAGGTAGAGTTTTCTCGTAATTAGTGCCATGAGGCAATAAAATAGTTTACCTTGGAAGGAAGAAAAGCCACATCATACCAGGCAGGTTTAAACAGAAACTGAATTACTGAAGAATGACTTCCAAAGACATTGTAGAGCATATTTCTATATTGCTTTAAAGTACAAAGTTTCCACAGGTCCTTTGCCCATATTTACTTCTACTGAGAGAGACTTGGCCTTGGAGAAAAATTAGCTTCACTAGAAGCTAATGTAGTAGCTTCACTGTAGTAGGAATGTTATGTATACATGAAATGAATTTTTCAAACACATAGATTTTATTTGGCCTCAGCTTCTGGAGTGATAGAGAGGGAAGTGGAGAATAGCCACTCTCTGGAGGAGAATTCGGAGGTTCGATCAAGGGCCTCAGGTCTTGCATGGTCTACAAAGGCCCTGTGGCACAATTCAAAGTTCTTGGAAGACTGATTTTCCTCCTAATTCTAAACCAAGTACTTTTCAGCTAAAGTAACTGCTACAGTTTAGAATGAGTGTATGAAGCTTTAATTTAGGCTATACCTTAATTCTAGTACTTTCTCTCATGGCTCACTCCCTCTAGCCTACCGAGCTTCCTTCCTCTGACAACATGATACTAAAATCTCAAATTCCAATTCAAGAGGTTAGACAACCAATTTGAAGAGTAAGACATTTTCCCCCATTTCCACTCTCATTTGAACTTGGAATTTTTCCTCTAGCTATCTTAAATAACCTGTTTATCCTTTGGGTTGTAGTCAACATAATAACTGGTTATATACAAAACAAGCTAATGTAATAGAGAATGATTTAAAATTTTCTATTGAAAACAGTGCTTTCAAATGTGATTTCTATAATGTTACTAATTCAATTCACAGAATTTTTCAAAAATTTTATGTTGGGCTTCACTCCCCCAAAACAACTTTATTGGTGAAAATAACATAGGGCAAAGTACACAAAGGACTTGTGGAGTTTCTTACCAAGCAAATGGGCAGGGAGGCACCCAGTTGGACTGATATGGGAAGGGTAGGTATCCATCAACTTTGCCCTCACATACGCATGAAGATGTTCATATAATGGTTTAATCTGGAAAGACCAGGAAGAAAGTTTAAGAACAAGAGAGGCCTGCTCCTATTTCCAATCCTTGACACTAAAAATAGAACCTTCTTTAGACAAGTAGAATTTCCCTAAATTCTAATTCTTTTTCCTCTCAAATGTTCTGGAGAATTTGAAAGCATTCCTTCTTTCCAGATGTTGATGATAATTAGCTCCACTGCATAAACCAATACAGACACCTGGAAGAATACATGTCCCAAAATGAAAGCAGATGCAAAAATCTTCATTTCTAAGATGCTACCTACTTCCTTTGTTTTTCATTTGAAACATCACTTATATACCATAAAATTCACCCAGCTTTAAGTGTAGTTTCATTTATATTGTTGGGCAACCATTACTACAACACAGTTTTACAACAGTCCCTTACCCCTGAAAGTTTCCTTGTGCCCATTTGCAGTCTATTCCACTGCCACTCTCAGCCCCAGGTAACCACTGAACTGATTTAAGTTTGCATACTTTTTCTTATTCTGGACATTTCATATAAATGAAATCACACAATATATGACCTTTTGTGTCTGGCTTCTTTCACTTAGCATAATGCTTTTTAGGTTTATCCATGTTACTGGATGTATCACTACATTCGTTTTTATTGCTGAGTAGCATTTCATTGTATGAATACATCAGAGTTTGCTTCATTTAATATTTCATGGATAAAATTCACCAGTTGTTTCCAATTTGGGGCTCTTATGAATAATGCTCCCATGAACATTCATGTTTAAACTTTTGTATGCATATGCATTTTCATTTCTCTCATATAGAAACCTAAGAGTGGAATACCTTAGTCATATGGCGTGCTTCCCTTTTAAGAAATTGTCAAACTACTTTTCAAAGTGGCTGTACCATTTGACATTTCTGTCAGCAGTGTATAAGGGCCCAAGCATCAACATACCATCACCAACACTTGGTATTTTCAGTCTTTTTTAATCACAGATATTCTGGTGTTTTTTTTTAATGTGTTGAGATGACATTGGTTAATAAAATTAGATAGGTTTCAGTAGTACAAATCTATAACACATCATGTGTACATTGTATTGTGTGCTCACCACGTTCTGTCACCATTTATGCCCCTTTTACCCCCTTCTACTTCCCCTCTGGTAGTCATCATACTGTCGTCTGCATCTACGAGCTCTTTGTTTGGCTTAATCCCTTCCCCTTTTTCACCCAGCCTCCCTATCCTCTCCCCTCTGACAGCTGTCACTCTGTTCTCTGTATCTATAATCATGGCTTTAATTTGAATTTTCCTAATAATTTTTTGCTTGCTTATTTGCCATTTCTTGATGAGGTACCTTTTCAAATCTGTTGCCCATTTCTTTTTGGGGGAGGGTATTTGTCTTGCTTCCATTTTTTATAACTCTGCCCAAAACTATGTCTATGACAGAGTATCCATACATAAGAAGTTTGAAGGCACAGGGGTAAGGGGGGAAATATAGGGACCAAAATGAAGGAAGATAGAGACATTAAGAAATGTCCATGGGACACTTTTACTCATAGGACTCTCCCTTTCCTATACAACCTTACATAGTCAAACATAAAGAAAAAATAGTATCGATTGTCCTGAAGAAGGAAACAAAACCAATGACTCTGCTAACAATGGAATAGAATGCCAGCCCCAGGTAGCTCACCAAGATCATTTCATCTTATAATCTAAAAGATGGTTCCTTCCTATACTCTTTCCTTCTTATAATTTTGCTGTTGCTAATTGCTGGTTACTGGCTGAAAAGGGGAGGAGGGTTGAGCAATTCTGATTATCTGTAGGAGTTGCCCTGTTATTTTAAAAAATCTTTGCAAGTTCTGATATTCCATAACTATGAGGCCTGGGAACGGCTGACTGGTGCGTTAAGAACAAGGCAGAATGCCTTTGGTCACTGTCCTTTCTTTCCGTGCACTGCTCTACATCTGTCTCTGGGTACCAGTCCTTGGTTACCTCTGCAAAAGTATTTTCCACATCTTCAATCAGCTGGTTGCGGCTATATTCATAGCCATTTGTCCCCTCTGTTTCATAATCTCCTCTCCAATAATCCCCATAGTCCTCATAATCTGTTTTTGAAAAGAAGAAAGAGAAGAACATAAGGGAAAGGAAAAGATAAAGCACAGTATATACATGGATTAGCCTTGCCCCAAAGTTCAAAACAAAAAATCAAAAGATCTGTCACATTTTTATTGCCCTTCTAAGTATCACCTCAAAGGAATGCAAACGAATAACAACACCAGCTAACGTCTGTTAAACATCTGCTGTGTACCGGAAATTTAAATGCACTGTCTCATCTCATAAGCTTGAACACTCTACAAGATTGACATTATTATAGTCTCCACGGTGTACATTAATAGCCTGATTTTAGATGGTTAAATTGTTTGTCCGAGGTCACACAACTGGTAAGACGCAAAGGGATACTCCTAGTGTCCTAACCCTGGGTCTCTTTACTGTCTCTATAGGTCAATTTGCATATTTTACTTTATTTTTTTAATTTTAAAAATTTTTATTGTTGTTCAAGTACAGTTGTGGGCATTTCCACCCCCACAACTCCTTCTAACCCCAGCCATCCCCACCTCCCTCCCCTGAATCCACACCCCCACCTTGGTTTTGTCCATGTGTCCTTTATAGTTGCTCCTGAAAACCCTTCACCCCTTTCCCCACGTTATCCCCTCCCACCTCCTCTCTAGTTACAACGTGCAATTGAATCTGAGTTTTTAAGTTCTCATTTTGTTCAGGGCCTCAAATTTTCAAATTCAACCCAACTCATCTTAGACATTGCCACAGTGGGCCTGTGTTTATTTGTAAATCATATGTATCTGCAGTACGTCTCTGCAATGTAGTGGCTCATCATCAGGAAACATGACCTTGTGTTCAGGGTATTAGCTAATGAAGTTTGCAAATGTATGTTAATAATTTCTAGTTTTCCAGGCACATTGGCAATGGATGATCACAAAGATGAGGAGAGAAATCAATATTTGGATGCAAGGATATGGTGAAGACCTACTGTCCAGCTAGAGAACACGAGTTTAAGTGACCATGAATGACATTTAGAAACAACAAATGAGACACATTCTTCCTTGCTCAACCCCAGGAGGCAGTGAATCGCCAAAGCATAAAGTTATTCATAATGCCATGGCTCCAGCTCATTATTCAGGCAGGAGAGTAAGTTAAGAGATATGAAAATTTCTGCCCATGTTAATTAACATTTTTATGACCACATGATTTGAGTTATGATTATGACTGCAGAAAATAATGGGGTTTACAGTCTGAATTAACCTGATTTTTTTTCTTTGTGACACCACCCTGAGGTAAACACACAAATGACATTTGAGAATGAACTTTAGCTAGATGAGAGTTTAGGTGAGAGCTGGTGTTTCTGTCTGTCATTCTTTCTGAGATATAGAAACCCTACTCAATCCTGAGACAACCTCAGGAACCTCAGGGGCCTGAGAACTTCCCAGACAACTGATTTGTTTGAAGCCCTGTAGTTGAGTTTCACTCCTAAGCTATTTAAACTGTAGAATGTCAGTTCACCTTTCCTTATTCCCTAGTAGTTTCTCTGAGACAGGCAACATGAATTGTTCGGCAGATGATCATTAACTTAGGGATATACCTTGTATTTAAGGGCAGCCTGAGTGATTCATCAGAAATAGCCCCACAGCCCCAAAGAGAGCTTCAGGACCACTACAGACCAACAAACTTACTCTTTTCTCTTGCCATCTCATTTTTCAGGACCACATACTCTTCATATAATGGCCTCAGCTGCTTGCCAACCTTAGACCTCCAGCCTTCCCAAGCCCAGAGCCTTTCATTGTAATCTTTGCTGTTGTGCATTATGTCTTCCAAGCCTGTTATTGCAAACCACCCAAAGGGAAATAAACATGCATTTGTAAAAATTTTTATGAGTAAACACATGAACTTTCAAGAATTAAAAGTGAGACTGGCAGACATTTAAGGTCACAAAGTTACTAAATGAAATTTCATGATTCATGAATTTCTTCATCCTTCTTATAGTTTCAAAATATTTTCCAGCAAAAATTAACCATTGACATCATTTAACTATCAACTTATTTAAATTATTTGAATGTGACAGACTTTACAAATGTGGGTTTGTTAAATGATAAAAGTTCATCTATGTACTGAAACACACATATTTGGAATCTTCTCATTTTTGGATTCTCTGTTTGAAAGGCCCAACGTTATTATTTACCATTAATTTCATTTTTAAAACTTGGAATAAAAAGTGAATTTCATAATCACTGCTCAAAATTAATAGCTTACCTCCTGCAAGTAATAAGCACTCCTGTGGATTATCTGGTTTACAAACTTTCCCAGTACTGTAGATGGTGCTCATTGTATTTAGAACTGTGTTCAACTGCAACTAAAATATAATAAACAGTGTTAAAGTGGAAAACATGCTAAAGAAAGTGCTAATGTCCTTTTGGCCATGTAATTTTTTTATGCCTCAAAATAATAATAGTTCACATCTTCTTTGCCAAGTATCTTTCTTTATGTAGGGCAGAAAGAGTTCAGTTTAATCTCCTCACTACCAACTATCACAGAGCCTTATGAACATGTAATAAATATATGTAGAGTGACTGAAATAAACAGATCTGCCCAAATCCCCAAACCATTTCTCACTTACCCATGCACAGAGAAGTGCAATTGTTGTTTCATTCAGTATTCATTGAGTGTACATTTATTGCACATTTATTATGTCCTACACTCTGGCAATTGCGATATGAACAAATCACTGGTCCTCAAAAACCCCACAGCCATGGGGCAGTGAGGCAGCCATGACATCAATAATTACATAACAGAGTGACAAGAGCTATAACTGTCACCAAAAAGTAATGTGGCAGTATGGAGAGGAGTGGATAAATTAATAACCTGGAGATTCAGGAATGGCTTCAAAGAGGAGACGTTAGAGTTGTGTCTTGGAAGAGAAGCAGAAATCAGTGAAGTAGAAAAGAGAGATGGAGGGCAGAGCCTAACGTGCTGATTGAGGGAAGCAGAAGATGTGGGAATGGAGAGGTAAGCAGAAGCCAGATCATGAGGGACCTTCTATGCCATACTTAAAATTTTAAACTGTACCCTGTAGGTACAGTTCAAAAGAGCAAAGGTAATATATAGGAGACCATTCTGCATGGCAGGGTCCCAGCTCCCACTCAGAGATGCCTAGGACCCATGCCCAAGGACAGGTTCTCCCGTGGAGAATCAGGCCTGCATTGTACCTAGGCCACTTTGAGACTTGCTTTTTGCTAAAACTCCCTCACCCTGAATTGAGGCAACATTTACTGCATATCTTTAAAGTGACTTCCTAAAATCTATGCTACACCTTCCAAGGACCAGCGTAACCAGTTCAACCACTTTTCCTTTCGCATTTGCAAACATCCCTCTTCTGTGATGAGATTAGTGGCATCCTCTCCTTTGTTTTCTGTAAAAGGTAACCACCCAAAGCGAACCTCTGCATAGCAAATGAGGACCATCATGTAATCTGCCCAGAAAAGCAATAAAGGCCAGTCACGGCAAGGATCGGGATGCTCTCCCCTTGAGAGAGTGGCTGAAGCATTCTGAGGCTTTTCTCCTCTTGAGAGACAAGCTGCACCAGTCCCTTTTCCTCCACAGGACTCAGTAGTCTGTGTGAATTTCTCATATCTCATCTGCAATGCCCCAGACCCCACAAACCAGGGTCTGCATCAGTAATAAAGTAGTAGTACTCAAAGTATGGCCCATGGATCAGTGCAAGTTAGTAAACGGTTTGAGAGAATACATGTTTAGGAACTTTAAAATCATATAATATTTCCATGGCATCTAGGCATGTGATCAATGAACTTAATCAAGTATTGATCTGTGATGGACTGGTAATAAAGAAGAAAAGGAGAAAGGGAGGAAGGGCTGGTTCTCCCATAGATGATTTAAGAAATACCAGATAAAAGGCCCTATTTCCCCTTTCCTCACTTCCCTCTTACATTACTCTTTCACTCTGCTATAAGACTCATTATCGTAAAACATAAAATAGATTCCATGCTTAAAATTTCAGCAACACCCCATAGTGAAAAGGAATCAGCCCATGGCACAAAGCCCCTCATCATCTCCTTCTCTACATGCTTTTTCAATCTCCACCTTCTTCCTCCCCACTGAATTCATGAATTTTTGAGTATCTCCTTTCCCAAACACTTCAAGCTCTTACATGCATTTTAGTGGTGTTCAATCCTGGCTGCACATTAGAATTATCTGGAATCTTTTAAAAACACAATCTTCATGTTCCACCTAAGCCAGACCAAGCCAGTGAGCAAAGTTTCACATGATGTCTTTGTGGGAAAGACGGAAAGCATGGGATGGATTAGATAATGTGGATTAGTAACTAGTTAGATAATTAGATCCAAAGAATGCAAAAAAACAAATATCAACCTGTAGGAAGAGATGGGCCATATGGTTTCATCTTTCTTCTTATCGTGCATTTTTTCTTTATAGATGCAGATTAGAAAACAGAGTTCCAGAGGATAAGCAACAAAGAAAGAAGCCTTTGATGTTAAATAGCTAAATATTTTAAATTATTTATTTATTTATTTTTAGAGAGAGGGGAAGGGAGGGAGTGAGAGGGGGAAAGAAACATCAATGTGTGAGAGAAACCTCAATCAGCTACCCTTCATACACCTTCAACTGGAGAGCTAGCCCCTGCAACCCAAGCATGTGCCCTGACTGGGAATCAAACTGGTGACCTTCTGGGTTTTAGGCCAGTGCTCAATCCACTGAGGCACACCAGCCAAGCAGCCAACTATTTTAGATAAAACTATTTCATTAGATTAAATCAAGGGTCTGTAAACTATGATCTGCAGACCAAATTCTGAGTGCTTCCTATTTTTTAAAGGTTTTATTGGAACACAGCTGATTTCCCACCACAACAGCAGAATTGACTCATTGTGACAGAGACAGTATGTCCCACAAAACCTAAAATATTTTCTATCTTTACCTTGACAGAAAAAATTTGTTGACTCCCGAGCTAGAGAGATGGAATAAGAAATGTTATTTTAACAGGGGTGAACGTAGGCTTTCTTGAATTTGGACAAACAAGCTACCTAAGAATAGAATTTTAAAAGGGATCACTTCAGAGAAACATTAAGAGACTTCATTAACGATGTTGATATGAGCCAATCATGAATTTGACTGTCACGAGTGCACACACACACACACACACACACACAACCAAACAACAAAAGCTAATATAGTCCTAGACCGTCTTAGTAGATTTAGAGCAAAGGGTGTAGAATGTCACCTTGCTGCTCCTCCATACAAACCAGAAGCAACTCAGAGTGCTGTGTTCAGTTCAAGGATATGGACAAAGTGAAAACAGTAACTAAGACTGGTTAGTGGATTCAAAACCATTGTATAGGGGAAAATCAACAGAGTAAAGAATTCGTTAAAGACTTTTACAGGAAAAAGCAATTTGGCTTTAGGAGGTGGAACAAAGTGGAGGTAAACATTTACTACTCAATGGAGAGAGTACCTTTCCATCAATTAGAGGAACCCATATATGGAACTGATGTCTTAGAAAGAGGTGAATCACCCATCCCTAAACCAGTTTGAGCTGAGGCTGTTAGCCACTTGTAAAACAGGTTGCAGAGGAGAGTCAGCAATGAAAGGGGGAAGGATTAGACTACAATGTGAGCCTTCCCAAGCTTGGCATTGACATTTTGGACCAGATGATTCTTGTTCTTGGGTCTGCCTTGTGCATTGCAGAATGTTTAGCCATGTTCCTACCCACTAGGTGCCAGTGGCACCCCTCTTAAATTGTGACCCCCAAAAATGTCTCCAGACATTGTTAAATGTCCCTGGGAGGCAAAATCACCTGCAGTGGAGAACCATGGACATAGACTAGGTGTATTCTTCAAGCAGCCTGGTCCTCAGGAAGGTGACTACAGTGCCCAGACAATGCCAGTTTAACCCTGTGTCCCTAACATAATTATTATGTATCTTCTTTCACTGTCAGAAGGATTCTAGTTTGGATAGATGACAAATTATGTGGTCACCCCACCTAAGCTCAGAGCTCTTTTTAATGTTAGCATGCCACTCTTTGCAGGCAAGGGAAGCAGCTGTGGGTGATATTAATATTTAATATTCTACAGTAGTTCAACTCTTGGGATCTATACCAGAATGTTCACATACTCGTTTGTCCTTGTCTTCTGATAATCCATTTTGCTGAAGGGCCTGCAATTGATGCTTGACTTTAACATCCTTAATTGCTTCTAGTGGGTAAGCTTTGGCAAGCTTGGACTGTTCTTCATAAAAGGTAGACCACTTCCGGTCAGCCTCATTCTGAAATGACAAAAAATAAAATTCAAGTCAGAGCGACACTGCTTGAACAGATAGAACAGAAGATATGGTCCAAAGAACATCTGGTGGAACATCTAATATTTCCTAAGTGGTTTAGTTCTCTAGTTTCCTGAAGGTCAAGGCTTAGGTTAAGAGTGACCAGGCCACTCTTGGTCACTCTGTCTGGCCCAGTGCCTAGTTTTCCCAAGGGTCCTGTTCCCAGAACTGGAAGTGAACTCTCACAGATGATTCACACTGTAGAGCCCTGGAATTTATTGCCTTAGCCCTGTGACAGGGGTGAGTTGATCAGGAATCAAGGATGAGTGTTCCAAAGAGAACACTAGTAGAGCTGAGCATGGACTTCATGGGAATACAGTCTCTCATGACTATGAGAATCATAAGAAATGAGCACCAGTTTGCAGTAAGCTCCATGGTGCCATGTCTTATTAGAGATTGTGATCTTAAGTTATGTTCCCCAAAGGAAGTTGCCCAGAATATAGCCATTTGGTGGCCATGGTGATTTTTTTCCCATCAGAAGAAATCAACAAGCAGGTCATGATGCTAGAATTCACATGTCCCACATCTTGAACATCAGCAGGTGAGTGGACTCCTCTAGACTTCTCTAGTGCAGTCTTCCCTCAATGCACAAATTTTCACCTATCAAAGACTAAAATGAGCAACTACTTTGTACACTTTACTTCTCTGGACCAGATAAAAGAGGCAGCATATGAGGCAAGTAAGAACCCCATTCCTAGAGTCAGACATCTCTGACTAGCTGTGTGACCTCAACTAGCTGTGTGACCTTGGGCAAATTACTTAACCTCTCTGAGCTGCAGTTACCTTATCTGTAAAATGAGAGTAATAATAGAACTTATTTCAAAGGGTTGTTTAAGAATAAGAAGGAAAAAAAGGATAAGAAGAATGAACAAAGAAAAAAATGCTTATCAGAGTGCCCAATGCAGCCTATGCATTCAAATATTTTCTAGTTTTTTATTTACAGGAAAAAAAATCTTGTTCTTAAGTTTCTGGCAGTTTTATCAGACAGATTAGATATGCATCATGAATGTTTCATTAATGACACATGGCAGCATATGATAACATAGAAACTATGAGTAAGCCAAACAGTTTCTGTTATAGGAAAAGAGAGATTCATTCAGATAGTTAGATTTAGCCAACCTTTCATGGAGAAAGTGAGACCTACGACAGACCCTGAGGTAGGTAGGAGCTATATGTGTGCTGGGTTCTGTGCAAAATCATTTACTTCATTCGACCTTCTTAAAAACCCTATGAGATAGAAAATCATTCTGTCTCCATTTTCTATATGTGCATTAAGGGGCTGAAAGAAATAAATAGTGGAGCTGGCAATGAACTGCCAGCATCTGCATCTTGGATCTTGTGTGGACAGACTCTAAGATGACTCCCACAATCCCTACTTCTTATTGGTACACATTAGTGTGATCTCCTTCCTTTGAGTGTGAGCAGGACCCACTTCTAACCAGTAGAATATACCAAAGAAGACAGAATGTACATGGTTATGTTATACAAGGTTGTAATTTTTATCTTGCTGGAGGACTGCCTCCCACGCTTACTTTGATGCAGCAAGATGCCATGTTGTGAGTTACCCTGTGGGAAGACTGACATGGCAAGGAATTGAGGATGGCTACTGGCTAACATCCTGCAAGAAACTAAGAACCTCAGTATAGCAGCATACAAGGATGTGAATGCTACCACTAACCACATTAGCTTGGAAGTAGATTCCCTGTCAAACCTCAGGTGAGACCACAGCTCTAGCCAGGACCTGGATTGCAACTAGAGACTCAGGAGCAGGAGATATAGCTAAGCTTGGACTCCTGACCCACAGGAGCTGTGAGTTAATAAATGTGTGTTGCTTTAAGCTGCTAAGCTTCTGGTAAAAAAAATTTTTACAGAATACATAACTAGTACAGGTTATGGGCATGACTGCACTTTCCAAGCCAAGGAATTTTACTTTTACCTTGTGAATGCTAGGGAGTCACTTAGGGGTTCTAAGCAGACATGTGACATGATGGAAGTTGTGCATGAAGTAAAAACAATGGATCAGACAAGAAATGAAGAGAATAGTGGCAGTAGAAATGAAAAATGATTTCTCTCTCTTTTTAAAAAGATTTTATTTATTTATTTTTAGAGGGGAGGGATGGAAAAAGACAGGGACAGAAACATTGATGTGAGAAAGGAACATCAATCAGTTGCCTCTGAACCTGCAACCAGGCATGTGCCCTGATGGGAAATCAAACCAGTGACATTTCACTTTGCAGGACAATTCCCAACCAATCGAGCTGCACTGGTTAGGGCTGATTTCTCTCTTTACTGAGCTCACACAACCCCTCAGGAAATATCTCTCAATTAATCCTCACAAACAATATTGTGAGGTAGTTCTATTTATCTCCATTTCACAAATGAGGGAAATGAGACACAGAGAGGGTAAGCCACTTTCCCTAGGTCACACAGCTAGTAATTAAAAGAACCAGGGTGTCAACTCTGATATATTTACCTCCAAAGCTAATGCTCTCTAACCATTGACTATAGACTGATTGTATTTGACATATTCTAGTTTTCTATCTAACATGCGTGAGTTGGAAAGAGTGAGCTATAGGAAGAAGAATTTTGTCTACAGCACAGACTCATCTATGCAAGCCTCTCAATCCTTACCCTTATTCACTCAGCCCAGGATGATTTACTGTTAAGCAAAATTTCTGGCAAAATTTTCATAACAAATTATAGGAATGATTTTATTCTTGATCTACTTTGGAAACAATTCACAGCCCTCAAAATGCCTCAGCCTTAGAACATTTATTTAAATTGTTCAAGTAACGGTATTAAAATGAAAAGAGAACCAACCATATTTGAAAACATATATGCTAATGATACCTCAGACAAGGGTTTAATCTCCGAAATGTATAAAGAACTCACACGACTCCACTCTAAGAAGACAACGAACCCAATTAAAAATTGGGCAAAGGACTTGAACAGACACTTCTCCAAGGAGAACATTTTTTATTATACTGCATATGGGAACTTTGAAGATATCTGCTTTATTCTTTATCAGCACCATACTACAAGTGTTACACTTTAATTCATAAACAAAAATTACATTATGTTGCCTTGAATTTTAACCCCGGAGGATGTACTGTTCCATCCCAAGATATTCTTTTTTCCAGAGCTCTGAGGACCCTAACCATCTTTTGGTTAATTTCTTGGCTCAATATTCCTGCGCCATGCTAGTAGTATAAATTCAACTTGCACACCTATTAAATAACTCACAGGTGAAACCTGAATCCAGTGAAGTATCTACATGAGGATTCTGCCCACCATCTATTTGGTAAATTAAGTTTTATTGGAACATAGTCATACCCATTTATATATTACCTATGGCCACTTTCACACTACAATGGCAAAGTTGAATAGAGGTGGGAGGGCCCACCAAACCTGAAATACTACTATCTTGTCTGTTACAGAAAAATTGTTCTGATCTCCACCCTAGACCTGTACATTTATAGGGAATACAGGGGACAAAAGAACATGTAAAGCAACATTCAAGGGACATCATCAGTGAATGCCCCAGATGTGGGCCCCAGGAAGTGGGAGTTTCTATAGGGCCAACAATTCAATTTCTCCACAAATAAATTGCAAAAAGAGAGAGAGAGAGGGATGGACTCTATCAATTAAAAGAGACTTAGAGTACATCCATCAAAACTATTGGAAGGAGAGGACCTTGCTAGATTTTGATTCAAATAAACTACCTGAAATGTTTTTCATGAAACAGCAGGGTGCATTTGAATATTGGCGAGCTATTTGATGATACTGAGGAATGATTGTTAAGTTTTCAGCATGGTACTGATAGTAAGGTTGTAAAATTTTTTACTTTGAGGGTCATAGGATGAAATATTTACACATAAAACTATATGATATTTGGGGAGAAAAATAAAACAATATGGGCCAAAGTGCTGATTGATAATTGGTGAAGTTAGGTGATGAGTATTAGGAGAATCAATATACTAGACTTTCTTCTTTTACATGTTTCAAAATTTTTCTGATGAAAAGTAAATAAAAATTCATACAATGGAACACTATTTGGCAATTAAAAGGAACAAAATAATGCCACAACATGCAAGGTAATAGAAGCCGGTCACAAAGACCATCAATTGTATGATTCCATTGATAGGAAATGCTCAGAGCAGGCAAATCTGCAGATGGAAAATACTTTAGTGGTTGCCTAGGGCCGGGGATGGGAGGAAGAGTGATTGCTACTGGGCAGGTGGTTTCTTTTTGGAATGACAAAAATATTCTAAAATTACATACTGGCAATGATTGGACAATTCTGTGAATATACTCAAAAACACTGAATTGTAGGCTCTAAATTGGTGGATTTTATGGTGTATAAGTTATATCTCAATAAAGCTATTGTTTAAAGCCTGCAATAATAAACACCAAGAAAAAAATCACCTCATTCCCAAAGTCCTATAGCAAGGTCTGAAATCCCTATGGAAGTGCTCTAAACCAGAGGATTTAGCCAAATTACTGTAATGCTCTTTCACCCAGTTACCTGGCACATGCTAAGCCAGACTACCCTTCCTCCATGTAGCTGGTGGTAGCCTGGCATGCTGTCAGAGTCAATGAATAATTGTGTCATGTTTGGGTGTATTTACACATGTCATTTTGAGTTGCTCAAGCTTAATTTCACCAAAATTACCTCACTAAACTGAGACATTATCAAGCTTCCATGACAAAAGGAAACTCACATGAACAAGGCCTCTAATACACTTGACTCAGGTTAATTGTCTACATGAGGAACTTACCCATTCGCAATTGTTATCTACTGAAAATCTTAGCTGTGCCCATCTACATCCCTACATTTCAAGAGACAAAGAAATAAGTGACTTGCCCAAGGCATCACAGGCAGCTCAGAAGAGTCATGAGAACATTGGTTTTTCTGAATTCCATTAGATTTCCAGCAGTGATCTTTCCCTGCCCTGTACCTGCGTGTGCGTATTTGTGTATGTCAGAGACAGTGGGACAGATTCATTGAGGGTGGGACATACTCGTTGGAAAGGGATGCATTCTACATTCTTCCCTTGGGTCCATAATAGCAGTTTAAAATTACTTTGTTCTGAGTTCACTATGACTCCAGTCCTAAAAGCAGAGGAATCAGATATGTCCCAAGACTCTAGGGGACATCAGAAAAAAAGATCTGAAGAAGCTCTAGGGAGAACCCAAAGGCTAAGTATGGGCCTCCTGCTCTCTCTTTGCAATTTCTTACAACTCGCCAAGAAATATTAATTAAATGTTCTCAGAGATCCTCAAGGCTCTAACGGGACATTCTTCAACACCTGCTGCATGGACAGGAGTTTGGGGCAGTTGTAGTTACTGACAAACACTGGAACAATGAACCAGGATATCTCTACCTCAGTAGTCCTCTTCCAGGAATAAAACTGTCTAGGGACCTCCTATGTTGCTGCAAAGAGAGAATAGAAGGAAAACCCATTTCCCTCCCTGCCCCATTGTCCCTCTCCCCAAGTAAACTGACATAAGTGCACCTAAGTGCACTAATGCACCCTTCACCACCGCATTCAAGTATTTTCACTTTCCTTTAAGAGACCTGAACTTTATGCACTTTGGCCACACTTCATGATTTATGTTCTTTCATCTCTAACCTTTGCTCTGATCAACCAGTACAATACAAAAGTGATAAATGGAGACTTGACTTGTGGTGGCAAAGGCACGGTATAATATACAGATGATGTATTAAAGAAATGTACACCTGAAACCTATATAATTTTATTAATCAATGCCACCTCAATAAATTCAATAAAAAAGAAAAACAACAAACATAAAAAAACACACAAGTAATAGCACTTAATGATCCAGAGATGATTTTAGTAAACATCATTACATATCATTCTATAATATGCCTTCTCATGCTCTGGGCACTCAACAGAACTATTATAAGTCTTTTCAGCAATTGGTTGAACTTGGTTCATAACTCCCTCTCACACTAATGACAATGGTATCTTATTGTTCTCCCACACTCATAAGCATTAAGCCCTATGCTGGTGGTTTTGTATATTAATTCAGTCTTCACAGTGACCCTATGAGGCAGACATGAATGTTATTTTTTTACAGATGAAAAACTAAAATGCAGAGAAGTTGATTAACTAACTCAAGTTCACCCAGCTAGAAAGTAGTGGAGTCAGGATTTGGATTTTGGCAGTCTGGTTCCAGAGCTCTTAGGTATGATGCTGATACACCTTCATCACAGGACTATTCAGCTGAGCATAAAAATAAATATACAATACACTACAGGCACCGCCAGCAGAGATCAAATAAAAAGTGAGGAAAAAAGCAACAATGAAGAGATGAAAAGAAGTAAGACAAAAACATGAGACAAGAAAAACATGATCTTCTATGACAACACTGGGCTGTCAAAATCTCCTGGATTTCTTTGAGCTTTAGAAAAATAGAAGAAAAACACTGTGTTGGCAGATTTCAAATGAGACAGTGTGTCTGAGATTTGATGTGGCCAGTGAGTGGCCGTTATTTAATTTAAACATGCAAGCTACTAATCATTTGAAAAAAATAAGCTTCTGAACTACATTTTCAAAGGAATATATTGCTCTACAAATGCCACGAAAAAATCTTTTCTTAAATAATGTTGCTAAATTTCCAGCAGCAAATGTGGAAGGATACTACTCTGGGACCTGTAAGAGAAGAAACCCTGAACCCTTGCACTTGTCAAACAAAGCATCTTTCTTTCCCAGAACATTCTGAGATTTGTCAGAACTGTTTTAATTATGTTTTTTTCTTGGAAGGCTCCGGATGGATTCTGTGACCTTTATAAGTCCCTCAGAGCTCTGTGACAATGAAGGAAGAAAACCCCAAATCCAGCCTCATCCAATCCATCTAGCTAGCTCTTTCACTAACCCTCCAGTTGGACTTTTCAGTTAATATATTATTTTAGAGAGTTGTTAGATCTTCCTATTGACATTGTGGACTTGGAGAAAGTTATTAACTAACTTATAGTATTCTCATGAAATCCACTGAAACACTGACTATGATATGAATTATGGTGGCAAATTTATGAAGTATATTCACTGGTTTCCAAGAATCTGGCCTGAGACCAGTTAATTATTTTATAACAATTTTCCAAAAGAGTCCCAAGGTCAATTAAGGTTAGTCATCTGGGACTCCAGAATCAGAAATACTGAAGCAAACATCCAACCTCCCAGCTGAGAGCATTTCTTTGATTTTTCCTTTCAGTTGTATGTGCAGTAATCTAACCTTTAAGAAGCAACGAATCCTCCTATATATCCATGAGCACTCACCATTTTTTGCACATTCTCCTCAGTAATATTGGTGTTATAATTCCAAGAAGCAAGTGCACTTTCATAATACAGTTCTTCAGCTTCAGTGTTAAACTTCTCCAAAAATGTCCTGGCATCTTCCTCAGTGGGAGCTTGAACAGCAGTTACAGCAACAAGGCTGAGAAAGAGCCAGGAAGAGCCTGACATCTTTCCGTGTGCGCCAAGATCCCATTCACTGAACAACTCTCCCTGGAGTAAAACCTCCTCATGAGTTTTTCTCTCTCATCAGCCTTTGAACTTGGGTTGGGCACTGAGCAGGGAAGATAAAAAAAAAAAACCAGAAGGAAAAAAAAAACAGTAAACAATCTGATGATCCAATATAAAACTCATCCTAGAGAGGACAGATATGTAAGCATATTTTAGAGTGGTTTTTTTTTTAAGTAAGTCAAATAAAAAAAATGTTATTCATTAATCCCAGCAAATCAGCTCTCCTAGCTTTTATGATCAAACCAAAACTTGTACATTTGGTTAATAATTTATAAACCAAATTCCTTGAAAGCTGTTAAAAATACACTGAAAGTGTTATAATTTTATAGTGACCAAAGAAGCCTAGAATTAGGGATCATGGGGGTAACATTGTTACTTATATGTTTTTCAGACAATTCCATAGTAACTTATCCCTGCTTTCACTTTATTTCACACTCATATTCACAGAAACTCTCTACTTTGGTAACATTTTTCTCTTCCTAATAAATGATGTAGCCCTCATCTTTATGGAATTCATTTCTGTCTGATAAATTCTAATTTTCATGATCATTTTTAAAACAATAAGATTTCACAGGTTAACTCTCCCCATGTAGCTTGGGAAAACTTAAAGATGTTCATTTTCTATTACTCAGATGACCATGTTAAACACTGGTTCTATGGCTGACTTCATTGTGTGCCTCCTCCCCTTTCACTTACCTGTTCAAACCTCGGTGAAGGTCACAAGGAAGTGAGAATGCTTCTGCATGGTATGAAATTCAAGGAGAGTCTGTGTCAAGCTCTGGTCATCTTTAACCATAGGATCATGGCAATATAGAATTTGAAGAGATTTTAATGATAGTCCTGTTGAATCTCAGGAGCTGGATCAGTGTCCTTATTCCCAGGCTGTAGGTATGCACATCATAGATAAAAGAGAGGAGCAACTTTAAATGGCAAGGCTCATGGGCCTGGTTGACTGTGATTATGAAACCCTGAGACAGGGAAAACATTTCTTCACCTAGAAAAACGAGTCTTCCAGGTCCAGGTGAAATGTCAGTAACCAACCTTTTAAAAACAATTTTCACAACTTCCCCTTGTTATAAAGTTGTGCACATCAGTATATAATAGGAACAATAATTATAAGAGTTTTTCATTATAATATCTCATTTAGGCATTACCAAAAACCTAGAGGTAAGTAGTTTTTATTGACATTGTACAGATTGGCAACTGAGATGCAGAGAACTTAGACAAATTGCCAAACCTCACCGACTAGTAAGTGGTAGAGCCTGGACACAAATGCCTGCAGCTTGATTGTAGAATACAGGCTTTTAACTTGTTGTAGTCAGTAGTCTAAAAGCAATCATGGAAGTGTCGATCTAGAGCGGTGGAGGGATGCTGCTGATGCTGTCCCTCTGTGAAGATGATGGATTTGGGTTCTGCCACATCAAAAAGAGGTGGATTCTTACACTCCTTGATGTGATTTGTAATACACAAATCTTTCAAGAAATAAAGTAATTGATAAATATAAGTCATTGCAATAACTAATGTTAAAGAAAGTGAGATGGGGGAATCAGTGAAATTTCAGTAAGGCTCCTCCCACATTTAAGAAAGCTGAGATCCACTCACTTCTCACAGGCATTAGGAGAAAGCCAGTCAAAAGAAGGGGAACATGGCATGAGGCTCTGAGCAAAGAGCTGCATTGTTACTATAATAACAGCTGAAATAAAACTCTACTGAGGTCACTTTCTGAATGAAGCTCTTGGGTTTAGAAAAACATGGGAGTAGTCCAACTTCAATTCATTGAGGCAGAAAATAAGATTAACACGATCAATTAAAATGGAGAAAGCAGGATATAAAATTTGAAGGCCAAAAAGCAATGGACAAGGAGCCTGAGATAACAGTGAGGTGGGAAAATTCTGGAAGCCAAGACATTTTGAGAAGCAAGGGCAATGGGTAAGCTATCCACAATAATTCTGTAGGAAAACCAGGTCTATGATGGACAACTACAAGCAGTGACTATATTGGTACAATTTTTGTTCACTTTCCATTGAGAAGATGTCACTTTTCTGATAGCTACCCAGATGCATTCTCTCTGAGCCCATTGTGAGAATGAAAAGAATCCATCAAAAAAACAGGGACAGGATACATATAAACAATTGGCCTACAGGGATGGCTTGTCTTTGAGAAATAATGGAGTCAGAAAATATTAGGAGACCGGAGATGCAGGAAACCTGTTTTACCTTTCAAAATGACTGGAGGGTGAATTTCATAAAGGGTAAAAAAAAGGAAGAGCTCTTGATCTTGACATCTCAAAAAACTATAAAATACAATTTGTAAAATGTGGTTTGCACTTGGAAAAAATATATATATCCATAAATATATATCTAGGGATTCACTAGGAACAAGTCAGATGCTGCCTGCCTCATTTCCTTTTTGAAAAAAGAATACAATAGAAAACAAAGACACAGTGTTTCTTCCTTTTCAATATGGGGGAATTTAACAAATTGTAAAGTTCTATGACCAGATAGAACTAAATGTCCCAGAAACGACCACACACTATAGGATTAAGAGGTCCTCTGATCAACAACAGTTTGTGTCCAAAACAATAGGTCTTGATTCAACAATTATTTATTGTCTACCTATTATATGCCAGACATGATTTTAGATGTTAGATAGACACTGATAAATAAGACAGGAAAAGTTCCTGTGGATGTCATATCGTATAAGGTGTGGTAGAGGGAAGAAACAAGATAGTTGATGATGAATGCTATGACTTTGCAATAAGCAAGAAAGGAGACTGGTGAGTGATGGGGTGGGGATGAGAGGGGGGACATTTGAGCAAAGACATGAAGGAAAGGATGAAAGCTATGTGGATACCTAATGGAAGACCACTCTAAGTAGAAGGAACAGTAAATGCAATCCATGTAGACAGACCTCAAGAACATGAGAAGCCTTTGTGTCCAGAGCCCAGACTGGAGGCCACACAAGAAGGGCTATATAGATAACTGTAGGAATTTGAGCTTTACTCTGAGTAATGTGGGAAGCCATTGGAAGGCTTCAAGCAGAAAAGCGATCTGGCAAAAGTTTTAATGGGATCATTCTCACTGCCAAGTAGTGAGCAGACAGTAAGAGGTAAGAGTAGATGTACTACAGTCAGCCAGGGAGTTACCACAGCAGTCCAGTCAAGCAGGTTGAATAAAAGCTTAATATGAGCTGTAAATCCAACTCACCTGCTCAACAGAAGGTAAATCCATCTTAGGCTCCCTTAGACTTTGTTAATCCAAGTATTAGATGCAAAATAATTTAGAGCACCACACTCATTTCTGATAACCACCATTTTAGAGAGACACAGGAGAATATCCAGAGAAAAATAAATACCGTATGTTGGGGAACCATAAGACACACCTAGGTTGTAGAGGAAGAAAATAGGGGGGGAAATTTTTGAAGCTAAAAAATGCGGTAAAATATTTAATAACATAAATAACATAATATTTCACCAATGTAAATGTAAACAGAACTCAACAGCAGCATTAACAACCATTACTCCTCCCAAATTTTGGGTGGGGGGTGTACATCTTAGAGTCTGAAAAATAAGGTAAATGCATCTAAACTAATGTCATTTGAAGCACATTTGAAGTTCAGACATGGAAGAGAAGACTTAGGGTGGGCAGCTCTCCTCCATCATGGGCCCGTCAGTTAAAAGAAGACTTAGGTAAGATAATAGATTCACTCCACCACTTACTAGCTGTGTGACTTAGGCAGGCAATATTCCCCCACACCTAATTTCCTAAGTTCAAGCTGATGGCTGTATTATACTCATCTCATAGGGATGTTGTATTATATGAATTACTACTTGAGAACACAGAGAAGAATGCTAGGAGCCTATAAATAATAAAAGCCACTCAAAATGAGAGGAGCTCATTTTGGGAGGAGCTCATTTTGTGTAATCATTAGGAAACTTAGAGAAGTAAGGGAAATGGGAGAATTGCCCACAGTCATTTTGTAGGATACTATTATATTCTAAGAATAAGAAGGTTCACGTAAACAAAACCAAAATGTACTGTTTGGATTAAACCAGTTTTGCATTTTTAAACAACTTAAGGTAGAAATGTTTCTAAAATATACTCCATCCTAATCAGAAGGTTGACTGTGCAATATTTTGCACTTCTTTCTTTTTTATAATAACTCACTGTCATTATCTTGAACATTGTTTACTGACTAGGCTATAATGTGACAGTGTCTTCAAGGCTTTACATTAAATGGCCCCAAACAGCTTTGTTGCTCTTTGCTGTCCATGCAGGCTCTAAATTTGCTGTCACTTCTTGAAGTATGTATTTGTAGTAGCCCTGACCACCACAAATCCCCTTTCTATTTATGATATGCTACCTGCTAAAACCTAAATGGAAACTAGATAACCATAGAGTTCGATCAGATAATTCTCTCTTCATAGGCTCAGACCTGAGGGTGGGTCTCCACTCTGCTGGAGCAAAGTACATAGACTTTGAGATCCATATTTCCTTTATCGCTCACCTTTTCAAATACTTCTAACAGTTCATAAACAATGAGGCTGCCAAATAGCTATAGCAAAAACATCCTCTAGTTCCTGAAGTTGAAAGGCCAGCTTCAGTAAACTTCAGAGGGGGGAAAGAAAGGATGTTTTCAACAATTTTTTATCTTAAAATTATAGAGTAATGCTTCTGACAGAAATAAAAATGGTATCAGGAATATAAAGCCTAAAGAATTTAAAACTTACATGGCCAAAAATTACTTGCATTTAGTGTAATTGGTTTTGACCACATATTTACTACACAAAGTGAATTTATAAGTACTTTGCAGAAAATAAGTAACAAATTGACTTTTTAGTCCAAAGAAAAAGCTAAAGCTCTTTCCTGTTTACATCTCTAGTTGCATAGCAGTCATTTTTCCTATAGATAAAACAAAGATTATCTTTATTAACCAAACTGACAGATATTTCCAACAGAGTTCAAATTTATGAGAACAAACTAGATTCCAGGGAGGTTGTACTGATTATTGCTGGTCTAAATGTATGATAATATAGTGCTTACCATGTAACCTAATTTATTTTTCACACCCAGACTGTGCAATATATCAGGTAAAACTAGAGCCACTAGCATTGATTTACATCTAGGGCCTAAGGAGCAAAACTTGAGCCTTTAGCCAAATTAAAATTAGAATTCATGGTAGAGTTTGAACAAAGGAGTGATGTGACCTCACTTGCCTTTGAAAAGAATCACTCTAGTTGCCGTATGGAGAATGGACTACATATGGGCAAGACAATAGGCAGAGAGACTAGTAAGGAGGCTATTGAAATAAACCAGGGGAGATATAATGGCAGCTTGCGGTAGCAGTAAAATCTGTAAAAGGTGGTTGGATCTTGAATACATTTTGACAGTAAAACCAACAGGATTTATTGGTGAATTGGATGTGGGCTGTGAAAGAAAGAGTCAGGGATCACTACAGGGCTTTTGGACTGAACAACTGGAAGGACAAGGTAGACATCGATTTAGATGAAGAAAGTTGCAGATAAATCAGTTTGGAGGGAAGACTAGGAGTTCAGTCAGGTTTGTGATAACCGTTAGAGATCCAAGTGAGGGTGTTGAGAAGGCATTAGATAAACAAATCTGCAGTTTGGCAGAGAAGTCAGAGATGGAGATGAACATTTGACAATTGTCAGCTAGAGATTGTTAGCCAAATATACCTTTTCAGTTAAGACCAAAGGGAAATGATCTTACTTCTTCAGAATCCCAGTGTGC